ACGCGTACCTCAAAGTTACATTTACTTGGTCAATCGCTTTATGAGTATATTGACTCCACAATTCACATCTATATATGATTCCTGGCGTAATCACAGACGTGAGTATAGTCTTACTCGCCAAGGGGTCTAACCCATTATAGTGCATACCAACACCTACAAGTGAATTGAGGGTCCGCCTGCCTTTTTTACAAGAGTCAATTATGCCTTCATCGTCTTTTAGGTTGTAGGTGAAACTAACCCCCGCGTAGATGGTGCTAGTAACCCATGAGAGTTCTTTCTCACCAAGATGAACAGTGCGATTGAATTTCAATCTCTGTCGAGNGTTTAAGCGTGTTTCCATATATAAAGCTACATAGTCTTACGATGAATACCAGGTACCACACAAGTGACGTATCACCGTTTGCAAGTTTATTCCAAAAGTTAAGTTTTCTATTTTCAACTTCACTCCATAGATCCATCAGACCCATACACTGCGAGGTTACTGCGGTGGACGATCTTTGCGGGAGACCAGCGCACCGCCTGCACGCGTACCTCAAAGTTACATTTACTTGGTCAATCGCTTTATGAGTATATTGACTCCACAATTCACATCTATATATGATTCCTGGCGTAATCACAGACGTGAGTATAGTCTTACTCGCCAAGGGGTCTAACCCATTATAGTGCATACCAACACCTACAAGTGAATTGAGGGTCCGCCTGCCTTTTTTACAAGAGTCAATTATGCCTTCATCGTCTTTTAGGTTGTAGGTGAAACTAACCCCCACGTAGATGGTGCTAGTAACCCATGAGAGTTCTTTCTCACCAAGATGAACAGTGCGATTGAATTTCAATCTCTGTCGAGTTAGTGTAAACTGCATGGCGTTACTCTTTTGGGGGTTGTAATTGAGCCGCCACTTGCATGAATATCTGTGCACAATGTCTAATTGAAGGTGGTCCATGGAAGCGGCCAGAACCATGGTATCGTCCGCTAGAAGAACACCTGGTATATGTACATTTCCCGCTTTCAGTCCATGATTGTAATTGTCGAGTTCAGCTATTAGATCATTAATTACTATCAAAAAGCACCAAGCGGACAAAGTTCTTCCCTGCTGTAGAGGATAGAAGTAAATTCGTTTGTTTTCTGACGTAGAGGATAGGCGTCAATTCGTTTGTTTCTCTGCTGTAGAGGATAGACGTCAATTTTGCGTCAATACGTTTTTTTCTCTGCTGTAGAGGATAGACGTCAATTTTTCCGTTTCTCTGCTGTAGAGGAAATGCGTCAATACGGTTTTTTCTCTGCTGTAGAGGATAGACGTCAATACGTTTGTTTCTCTGATGTATAGGCCAGACGTCAAATCGTTTCTTTCTCTGCTGCAGAGGAAATGCAATTCGTTTGTTCACTGCTGCAGTGGATAGCGTCAATTCGTTTGTTTTTCTGCCGTAGAGGATAGACGTCAATTCGTTTGTTTCTCTGCTGTAGAGAATTGACGTCAATTTGTTTGTTTCTCTGCAGCAGATTATAGGCGTCAGTTCGTTTGTTTCTCTGTTGTAAAGGATATACGTCAAGTCGTTTGTTTCTCTGCCGTAGAGGATAGACGTCAATTCGTTTGTTATTCCGCTGTAGAGGATGGACGTCAAATTTTTCGTTCTCTGCTGTAGAGGAAATGCGTCAATACGGTTTTTTCTCTGCTGTAGAGGATAGATGTCAATACGTTTGTATCTCTGCTGTAGAGGATAGACGTCAATTCGTTTATTTATCTGCTGTAGAGGACTGACGTCAATTCGTTTATTTATCTGCTGTAGAGGACACACGTCAATTCGTTTGTTTCTCCTGTAGAGGATATGCGTCAATTCGTTCGTTTCTCTGCTGTGGAGGATAGAAGTCAATTCGTTCGTATCTCTGTTGTAGAGGATAGACGTCAAGTCGTTTATTTATCTGCTGTAGAGGACTGACGTCAATTCGTTTATTTATCTGCTGTGGAAGACACGCGTCAACTCGTTTGTTTCTGCTGTAGAGGATAGACGTCAACTCGTTTGTTTCTCTGCTGTAGAGGATAGACGTCAATACGTTTGTTTCTCTGCTGTAGAGGATAGACGTCAACTCGCTTGTTTCTGCTGTAGAGTATAGACGTCAACTCGTTTGTTTCTCTGCTGTAGAGGATAGACGTCAATTTTTCCGTTTCTCTGCTGTAGAGGAAATGCGTCAATACGGTTTTTTCTCTGCCGTAGAGGATAGACGTCAATTCGTTTGTTTCTCTGCTGTGGAGGATAGAAGTCAATTCGTTCGTATTTCTGTTGTAGAGGATAGACGTCAAGTCGTTTATTTATCTGCTGTAGAGGTCTGACGTCAATTCGTTTATTTATCTGCTGTGGAAGACACGCGTCAACTCGTTTGTTTCTGCTATAGAGGATAGACGTCAACTCGTTTGTTTCTCTGCTATAGAGAATAGAAGTCAATTTGTTTGTTTCTCTGCTGTAGAGAATAGAAGTCAATTTGTTTGTTTCTCTGCTGTAGAGAATAGAAGTCAATTTGTTTGTTTCTCCGCTGTAAATGATAAACGTTAATTTGTTTGTTTCTCTGCTGTAGAGTATAGACGTCAATTCGTTTGTTTCTCTGCTGTAGACATGCTGTCAAGGAAAGCATCGCGTGTAAGGTACAACACTGGACACTCAATAAGTAAATGTGAAACAATATCAATGGTAGTTTTCGCACACAATCTACATGTAACCTCTTCAATTTCATTTGTCACTGATAGTGAGGAAATGCGTCAATACGGTTTTTTCTCTGCCGTAGAGGATAGACGTCAATTCGTTTGTTTCTCTGCTGTAGACATGCTGTCAAGGAAAGCATCGCGTGTAAGGTACAACACTGGACACTCAATAAGTAAATGTGAAACAATATCAATGGTAGTTTTCGCACACAATCTACATGTAACCTCTTCAATTTCATTTGTCACTGATAGTAACATAAGATCCACTAATTTCCAGCTATATTGAGGAAACTTTGCACACAAACTCAGGATTGGATTAGGACCTATTGATACATGTATTCCATTGTAACTTTTTAATTCGACTTTGGAAGAGAGATCATGTTTCCATTTATCATAATACCAATACGACACAACATTTTTAATAAACCTTTTCCATGAATTTTTTGGATATAACACATAGTCTGTGATTTGCTCTATAAAAACATCTCGATTTGAAATTTCGTCATTACTTGATAAATGTTCGGAATAAAACCCAATTTCCGTTTAAGCGTGTTTTCATATATAAAGCTACATAGTCTTACGATGAATACCAGGTACCACACAAGTGACGTATCACCGTTTGCAAGTTTATTCCAAAAGTTAAGTTTTCTATTTTCAACTTCACTCCATAGATCCATCAGACCCATACACTGCGAGGTAACTGCGGTGGACGATCTTTGCGGGAGACCAACGCACCGCCTGCACGCGTACCTCAAAGTTACATTTACTTGGTCAATCGCTTTATGAGTATATTGACTCCACAATTCAAATCCATATATGATTCCTGACGTAATCACAGACGTGAGTATAGTCTTACTCGCCATGGGGTCTAACCCATTATAGTGCATACCAACACCTACAAGTGAATTGAGGGTCCGCCTGCCTTTTTCACAAGAGTCAATTATGCCTTCATCGTCTTTTAGGTTGTAGGTGAAACTAACCCCCGCGTAGATGGTGCTAGTAACCCATGAGAGTTCTTTCTCACCAAGATGAACAGTGCGATTGAATTTCAATCTCTGGCGCTGTAGTGTAAACTGCCTGGCGTTACTCTTTTGGGGGTTGTAATTGAGCCGCCACTTGCATGAATATCTGTGCACAAGAATTGACGTCAGTTTGTTTGTTTCTCTGCAGCAGATTATAGGCGTCAGTTCGTTTGTTTCTCTGTTATAAAGGATATACGTCAAGTCGTTTGTTTCTCTGCCGTAGAGGATAGACGTCAATTCGTTTGTTATTCCGCTGTAGAGGATGGACGTCAAATTTTTCGTTCTCTGCTGTAGAGGAAATGCGTCAATACGGTTTTTTCTCTGCTGTAGAGAATAGACGTCAATACGTTTGTTTCTCTGTTGTATAGGCCAGACGTCAATTCGTTTGTTTCTCTGCTGTGGAGGATAGACGTCAATTTGTTTGTTCACTGCTGCAGTGGATAGGCGTCAATTCTTTTGTTTTTCTGCCGTAGAGGATAGACGTCAATTCGTTTGTTTCTCTGCTGTAGAGGATATGCATCAATTCGTTTGTTTCTCTACTGTAGAGGTTAGACGTCAATTAATTTGTTTCTCTGCTGTAGAGAATAGACGTCAATTTGTTTGTTTCTCTGCAGCAGAGAATAGGCGTCAGTTCGTTTGTTTCTCTGTTGTAAAGGATATACGTCAAGTCGTTTGTTTCTCTGCCGTAGAGGATAGGCGTCAATTCGTTTGTTACTCCGCTGTAGAGATAGACGTCAAATTGTTCGTTCTCTGCTGTAGAGGAAATGCGTCAATACGGTTTTTTCTCTGCTGTAGAGGATAGACGTCAATACGTTTGTTTCTCTGCTGTAGAGGATAGACGTCAATTCGTTTGTTTCTCTGCTGTAGAGGAAATGCGTCAATTCGTTTGTTTCTCTGCTGCAGTGGATAGGCGTCAATTCGTTTGTTTCTCTGCTGTAGACATGCTGTAGACATCAATTCGTGGTTTTTTTTCTCTGCTGTAGATGATAGGCGTCAATTCGTTTGTTTCTCTGCTGTAGAGGACAGACGTCAATTATTCTGTTTATCTGCTTTAGAGGATAGCCGTCAAGTCGTTTGTTTCTTTCCTGTAGAGGACAGACGTCAAGTCGTTTGTTTCTTTGCTGTAGAGGACAGACGTCAAGTCGTTCGTTTCTTTGCTGTAGAGGACAGGACAAATATTTTGACAGTAAATGTTGTGATGCGATAAGCTATACACCCTGCAGTGTTTTCGTTCTTCCTATTGTCTGTCACTCATGACATTCCTAAATTTTTGTTTTTCTTGTAGCACCAAACCCTGCGGAAGCCGAGGCTTTTCAGGCCATTCTGTCCCACGAGCTGAAGAAGGTACAGTCGAGACTGGAAGAGTTCGCTACCTATATGAAGGAGCTTAAGGTACATTTAATTATCTTTGTGCTTCGTATACCTATTGAGGATTGATGGGGGTATTTTCCTCCTTGTGATAGTGCCGATCTGATTACAATTTCGAAGTGCTATGGAATGCTGTCCAAAGTGTACATGATTGAGAGTAGTTTTGTTCCATGAAAGAACAGTTAATTGTCAATTTAATATAGTAATGTAATTTATTTCCGTCGTTTTTGGCATAGTAAAGAAAATAACTGTCATTGTATAAATACTATCCCTCTGCATTTAGCTTGTTTATAATAACTTTTATCCATAAAAATTCAATAAAACCCCTTTCTGTAACATGTTGTAGTTAACTTAGGAGATAAATAAAATATGTGTAGGGTTGATTAGCAATGCTTCTTTTCATTATTTTATTGTTGTAATAGTTTTGAACAATGCCACACACTCAAAACATCTGAAAGTGTTAAATTTGACAAAAAAAACATTTTTTTCGGAGGTTTTGACAAAAAATCCCCAGTTTGTCAGAATGCTTAGATTTTCATAAAATCATCTCTACATAGCGACATAACCATTATGTGAAACTTTCATTGAATTATGCTGGTTAATTGCGAAAGGGTGGAGCCTCCTTAAACTGACACAACGGGGGAACCAGTTGTTGCTATTACCCAAAATGCGTAAGCAGGGAATACAAATGTAACAATAGTGGATATGCGAAGAGGCGGCGGACAATGCCATGTATATGTTTACTGTGAGTAATATAAAGACAAAGATGGCTGTTGGTAAATTAGCAAGCTATGTTAGGATTGGATCATGTGTAAAATGTTTTGGTATCGGTAATATTTATCAGTATTGGTGTAGTTAATATGGGGTTCCTTTTCTGATTTCTAATATTAAACTGTTTCATTACTCAATGGGACGCAGTTTGTTACATCGGGTACTTGGTCTGCTATCAAGCAGTGTGAACTGGTCTGTTATATAAGTCTACATTGGGTACCTGCAGTTATTTGCCATGCATAGGCTATACTTTGTGCTGATACATTGCTTGCGATATTAAGCTACGACAGAGATTTGACATAACGATTATTATGCGGGATGGTTTATAGTTTGAAATGGAATTGTTTCCCCCTGATTGACGATACTGTATTCCCGATGTACGTCTTAGGTGTCGCTGGCGATGTCCCTAGTGGTGATTCAGGATTTGTCGTAAGTGGTTTTAAAACGACTTAACTGCTACAGGCGGCTTAAATGTTCCGTTGCATTGCTTTTCCATCAACATCGCTTGGCGCGTGGCTACGTTCCTTTAAAGTGTTTGGAAAACCCCATTAAACTCGCGAGGTTTTCTGTAATTAAAGCTCAACTTGTTGGTGTTCTATTACGGTCTTCCTCCTAAGTTATATCCCACATAAAGACATTTTTCTCCGCGTAAATGTACGTCTGTGTATGCGCTATTGACATTGATGTACGCTCATATAACTGTCTGGTGTTTATCATCAATACGGCTAGGAGGATTTACAGGGAACAAATGTGGTAGAAATCACATCGGTAAATATTGGGGAATAGACGGCAAAAACAAGGAAAGGAATCAAAGGAAATTTCAGAAAACAAATGTATTTTGTGAGAAAATACGCAAAACCACATGAAGGATATTCACTGAAAAAAGTAACATAACTATATGAGTTGTTTGAAATATAGACATACTTAACGAAGTAAATGTATTTTCTTATAGGAACTATAAATATAGTTTGATTTATCAATGGCAAAGCCTGCGAGTTCTCCAAAGTGATTGTAATATCTACATGTATGCACTGTGTAGCGCCTTAGTGTGGCTTTTACTACATTATTAGGGCGTAGCATGTTGTATACTTTTATATATTTGAACATTGAACAGACTAGCTCGTGTGGATTACTTCCTTACACGTCCGACCTTTATAACTTCACATCGATATGAACACCGCACATAAACAAGACCATTCTTGAAGTTAACTTGGGATTCTGTGCTCAAGGAAAAGCTCAGAAAATCTATACTAAACAATTTTATACGCCAAACGCGATTTTTGCTTTACATCTGTTCTAGGGATTATTGACGTTGTGAAAGAGTATCCTGTGTGTCACTGTAACAATGATTTAACTTGATGAAACAGATTGATATAAGTTTAATAACTTGTTTCCGGATCCTATTTCATGTATGCAATAATTAAATGTCATGTATATTGTAATTGCAAATTTACGAAATAAAATATGGTTTATACTAACTTGATGTGTGAATCTACTGTAGTTAAAAGTAATGTTAGCGCCTCAATGTGTGAATCTACTGTAGTTAAAAGTAATGTCAGCGCCTCACAAACATGTTACAATGTATTTTACATAAAACGTGATGTAGTACCCTGCACCCCGTACACGTAACCTTATTCACCATACCCTGTACCCGTTCCTATTTACCCTCTTCCCTAAACACTGACCCATCTATCATGTACCCCGTACCTTCTACCTTATATTCCATCTACCCATTCCCTTATACTATGTACCCTGTACTCCCTGAACTCTACCCTTTGGCCTTTAGCCTGTACTTTCACATTTCTACCCTGTGTCCCTCTCTCTGCCATGTTCCTTCTTTCCTGGGCCCCTGCGATCTATCATGTACCATCTACCATGTGCCTGTAACCTCTACCCTATACATTCTATCATGTGCCCGTACTACTACCCTATACCTTGTTCCTTGTTCCTGTACCCTGTACCTTCTACTCTTTGCCCGTACCCTCTAACCTTTACATTCTACCATGTGCCCGTACTACTACACTTTACCTTCTTCTTGTTCCTGTACCATCTACCTTGTACCTTCTACTCTTTGCCTGTACCCTCTACGCTGTACCTTCTAACATGTGCCTGTACCCTCTACCATATATATTCTACCCTGTGCGCGCACCCTCTACCCTGTACCTTCTACCCTTTAATGTCTACCCTGTGCCTATACCCTCTACCATGTATCTTCTTCCCTGTGCCTGTACCCATTATACCCTATACATTCTACCCAGTGCCCGTACCCTTTACCCTTTACCCTTTACCTCCTACCCTGTGCCTATACCCTCTACCATGTACCTTCTATCATGTGTCGGTACCCCTTACCTTATTCATTCTACCCAGTGCCTGCACCATCTACCCTATACATTCTACCTTGTACATTCTTCCCTGTGTCCGTACCCTCTACCCTATATATGTTACCCTATGTGTCTACTCCCTACTCTTTACCTTCTTTCCTACGTGCCCCTTACCTCTACCCTATGTTTTCTACCCTGTGTGCATACCCTCTCCCATGTAGCTTCTATTCAGTGCTCCTGTCCTCTACAATATATCTTTTACTCCATATTTGCATACATGCTTTCTGAAATTAAGAGTTTTTAAAAATTGTCATTTTTTATCATCTTAATGGTATTCACTTTAAAATGGGGTTTCCGGGAAAGTAGACGCATTAGTTTCTTTCTCTTTTTTGTTATAATGATAAAGGGAATTATTATCTTATTTGATACAGTAATCAAAAACGTATTGTTCAATTGGGCTAATACGAGCTTTCAGCTCATTTCCCGGCCATCCGGTCAAGGTAATCAAGGTAATCAAGTAGTGCGTTGGACAGAATCTATCACAATGTCATTTCAGGACATGTCTAGTTGCATTTAGATTGTAATGTCGTATTTGTTTTGTTTTTGAAGGTAGATGGAGTAGTCAAAAGTACGCATGCGTCCAAACCCGGCGAGGGCATCATCAATGTCGCTAAGGAAATTGGTGCTGGGTTGATTGTTACCGGAACAAGGGGACTTGGGAAAATACGGAGGACTTTTCTGGGAAGTGTTAGTGACTATCTAATACACCATTCACACATACCAGTACTGGTGTGTCAAGTGAAAGACAAAAAAGACAAGGCCAATTCGTGACGTAATCGTTGATGTCATATCCCCGCATCTACAATTGACGACGACATGGAAGCTGTTGTTTGCATATTTATATGATACAAGGATAGCGGTAGTAAGGACACGTCCTGTTAGAAATATTTAACCATGATACCTTTGTATGTATTTATCACGAACATATATCTACACGTCGTGTGTGCGCATGACTGATGTCACATCCGCTGTGGTGATGAAGTTTCTAAAAAACTGAAATTGAATGTTTGGCAATTCGAAAAATGATGCCGCACGAAATACATGCACAAGGATGCTGAAACAAGAAGAAGGACGTTTAATGCAAGTTGGAGACGATAAGGACGGCTTCGTGATCACGACTTATTTAGTTCGACATGCTTGCTTGGTGCGGTGTATCGAAGGTGTTGGCGGTGTCCTGATTTTACCTCCGCATTATTGTTCCGTGTATGTGTTCCGCTCTGTTACAATCTAATTAAAATTGTATCTTCACATCGCTCCCGTTTACTGATATGTCGCGTTGAAGATCTAACAACATGCCATAGAGGGTCACGTCAGAGGTCAACATGAATGTATTATCGTATTTATAACAAGCCAATCAAAACGCGACATAACTCTTTCTTTCAACCAATCAGAAAGCAGGACCTGTAGCATTTAATGCAGACACCTCGTAGCCCAAAATCCACTTTTTCGTCTGGTCCAGTGATAGTTTGAATATTGCGAAGCCTGTCATTGGTTAATTTTAGTTTCAGGTTGTTAAACTTTTTAACGACAACATCACCAGAAGAGGAAGTCTCTCTTATTTCAAAGCAAAATCCACAAATTGTACAAACGTTGTCTTGTAGATAGACACGGCGTGGTGTCATGGGCGCCGCCATTTTCGATGCTCATTTGACACCTCTCGGTCTTTTATCATAGCAAGTGTGTTCCGAAATTACTACATCACTTACAGAAATGCGTAAGCTCTCATCTGATTGGTTAATGCAAAGGTCGCCTGAACATGACCCTCTACGGGATGTTGTTAGATCTTCAACGCGACATATCAGTAAACGGGAGCGATGTGAAGATATAATTTTAATTAGATTGGCTCTGTTAGGACACGTGTTTTGTTCATCGCATCGTCATACATGTATAAAAACCATTAGATTTAGCACTATTTACCGCTTCTAACCATTGCTACTATTTAGCTATCCAACATTCAGACGACATTCATAGAAGTATTGAACTGAGTTCAATGGGCATTCATAGGCAATATGATTGTCAACTCGACAAAGTCAATGACGTACGTCTATGAATATCATTTAAAATCAGTTTAATGCTCGAATATGTTCCATTCTATGGCACTCCCACTATATACCCTACCAAGTTCGTAATGGTAAACGCGGTGACGTCATCATTATTAAGACGTCATAACTCTAACGTTGGATTTCACTGGCCTTTAATTGAAGATGGCTGTTCTATTCAAGCTGTTCTATTTAACTACCATTTACGATGCATACACTGATTAGAGCTGAATGAGTGAATTAAGATGAGTGAATTTAGTTTCTGTAAGTTTTACATATTCAACTGCTTCTTTTAATGGGGATAATTTTTTTTATCCATTTAAAGGTTGTTTTATCTTTGGAAAACGGGACAGAAATAAATATTGTGTATTGTAATAAAAGAATTCAATGATGGTTTCAAAACAAAACGTTGCAAGAAATATTAAATCTGAAACGCAAGTTACGAAAAAACACTTAATCCAATGATATAACGGTCGTAAATGTTCACCCTATCATAAATTGAGTTGTATATTACAACAAATGCCATTTAGTAGGATTTACGGTGATCTTCGTGTATTTGGAAAGAGTGTGATAATTGTGTTTATGTTTTGTCTCGTATATTAGATCATAATTATTTAAGCAGTATTAAAGATCGTTTTGTTACTACACATTTAGTATGCTCTTTGTACATATTTTTTGTTAATATAACATTAGGTAACTCTTGCTCAGAAACAGCAGCCTTGTTATTTATGTTGTACTGCGGGCATGCACTAATTGTGCTATCTTTTGCACATTTGTCAGTGTTAGAGTCACTCCAAGGACATGACTAGAAATATGTAGCCATGATTCGACTTTCTACACGGATTTATCATAATGTCGCCGCTTCCTCCATCGGTTAGTCCTTGCGTCCGTCACGCTTTTATATCCGGAGCATAATTCTATACAGTAAACTAGTTAAATCAAAATAATTTGTACTCATTATTAGCGGACACAGAGGAAGAACCACAGCATTTGCTTTGCAGGATGCGGAGTCATCCCCCTTTTGTAATGCATGGCCTAGTTTTTCTATCCGACGGGGATTAGAGTAACGTGGTTCATATTGCATATATTCCTTTATAATTCGCTAATTAAAAAAACACCTAAAATAACATAATTCAAACTTGTTTTACTGCAAAACCAACATGTAAATACAATTAAAGCCTTTACGGCAATTGTGTTGCTTATTATATTTCTGTGGTGTTGAAGTAACAGTACCATGAATATTACAAAATATTAACAAAACTCCGGGGAAAACTAAATAAGGTAGTATATAGGTAACGTGTGTACGTTTAAACAATGGATGACCCGAAGTTTTACAGTTACCGTTAGGCAGTGGACGATTTCGAAAGCGAAAGCGTCTTCGAAAAGGTAGTTTGTTCACAGCTGCTGTTCTTTTCAGTCTAATCATAAGGCCTTCAGTCAAGCCATACGCTAATCTTAAGGCTTTGGGCCGAGTCATACGATAATCTTAAGGATTCAGTCGAGCCCTACTTTAATCTTAAGGCTTTCGGTCGAGTCATACGCTAATCTAAAGGCTTCCAGTCGAGCCCTACGCTGATCTTAAAGCTTTCGGTCGAGTCATGCGCTAATCTTAAGGATTTTGGTCGAGTCTTACGTTAATCTTAATGCTTTCGGTCGAGCCATAAGCTAATTTTAAGGCTTACGGTCGAGCCATACGCTAATCATCCCACTAGTCTGGTTAACTTCGGCGTTTGCTTACGTTCGAACCCTATGCTTATCTTAAGGCTTTTGGTATGGTCCTGCACTAGTTTTAAGATTGACGTAAGTCTTGACCGCCAGCAATTACAATACAGAACCAGACTATTCTTCAAATTCAGATGATACAGTATGAAGTCATGTTGGCCAGTTCATTATTTACCATTGCAATTCTGATGACTGAAATAATCTACGTTTGATACATCATTGGGCGAGAGATTAAAAAGTATACATAGAGTGGTAAACACTCCGCCCTTCCATTTAGGCGGCCGGGTTCGATCTCGTACGCACAGATATTCAGAGAAAGTGTTTTTCTCCTGTCCACACAACTTCAACAACTCAGGTCTGACGTGGATGCTGCGGTATCTGTGCTGTAACATTCAAGTGAGGTGGCAGTATAAATGATGCCGTTGGGAGCACGGTCCCACTACAAACAGAGCACAGTACATTTCCAGCACACATGCAGGGATATTGGTGTGACGTGGCTTCCGGTAAGATCGATTTTGTTTTCAGGCCCGATCGAACCGCATATTTTCCCAACATTTTACCATACAAAGGATTCCGACGTGTGAACCGATAGAACTGTTCATTATGTGTGTAAAATAGACACCTTATATAACATGCACAACGTACAACGAACTTATGTGGAAGCCACGCCACACAAGTCTACCTGCAAGTTGATGCTGTTCGACGGCCCTTTGCAATATCGCCGTAAATGTAAATGCATACACACATTGGAAGATATTAGCCAGGTGGCATAGGACTAGTAGTTAGCGCCTGATAAGGCAGCTCTTGCAAATTCCTCAAAATTGAATTGATTAATGTATATGCTAATTGTATTAATTGTATATCTAGTTACTGTAAAGCGCCTTAGAGTGGCTTATGTTAGCTAGATAGGGCGCTATATCAGATGCTGTATATTTATTATATATATATATATTTACAACAAATATCTGCGTGAAGAAAACTTTATTTCATTTAAAAGCAGAAACCAGTTTTTTCAATCTTCTTTCTTACACAACATATGATTGATAATCGCTACACATTATTAAAAACTTCATATTGTTTTAAAAGCTTAAAAATGCCCACTGACTATCCTAGCCTCGTATTGAATTATTGCGCGTAATCTAATGGCTTGTTTCGCACAAAATACATTTGTACGTCACAAATATATGACGTCATAGAATCAAACAACTTACTCAAAACTGCCGTGTCGATGTCATCAACCTAGATGAGATTTGATGGCGGTCCACATAAAAGAGAGCGGTGTGGACCTCCATCAGATTTAATTTTATGCAAACAAGAAGAGCTCCAGCATGGACGGCACAATTGAAGGTCCTTTGTCAGAATCTCAGAGACAAACAATCTCTCAACAAAATGAAAAAAAAGAAGAAGAACCGAAATCAAGGCAAAAGTCCAGACGGAAGTGGTGGAAAATGTCACGTAACGAAAAGGAAGAAAAAACACAAAAGTACGAGAAAAACATGGGCTGCTGTGAGGTTTTGCTCAGTAGCGAGCTAATTTCCAGTACAAATACAGATTTAGATGGCAACGTAGTCAACGGCATCAGAACGGTAAAGGGCACAAGCGAATCTGTGGATTTCCCTTTTAAATTTTCTGTCAACAAGAAGCCTTCTCTCGATCCACTCGATGTGAATAATGTAAAGAAACATGAAAAGAAAAAGAAGCGTAAAGATAAAAAGACCGCGGCTAATGAATCCTCGGACATTTACAAGAAATCAGGCAAGTCTAAAAGTGCTTCTACTCATAGTCCTCGGTCGCAGAATCCACTCCAAAGAAGTGAAGGACTCAGGGAGACTTCAGTGAGTCCCACTGATTCCGAATTCTGGGGCTTCAGTAACTCGCGTTCTCCGCTGAACTTCAATGTAGAACACGCGCTTGACATGAATACCATTGTCGATCGCCCTGTTGACAATGCCGCGACAACCTCAGATGACGAATACGAGGCCGAAATGGCATATCGATTCCCATTCCTGTACAAAAGACTGTCCATACAGCAACCACAAAACACAGGTCACCGCGACCTTCGTCATCCAGAAAGACATGTCACGACGCCGAAGCCGCCACGACAAACCCTCGAGAACTTGACTGCGGATGATATAAAGAAACCTTTCAAAATGAAGTCGCCAGATTTGGTTTGCAATAGGAGGAACGTTTATATAATTGATAAAGACACGAATAGAAGCACGCCTGTTTTTACCTGTAGACAAGGCAATGTGAAGGAGAGTGATCTGCATGCCGTAGCCAAAAACAAAAATATCGCCACCATCAGTTATAGCACCGTGGACAAAGACAAAAACATGGCTACCATCAGTCGCGGCATCATACACGTCGACAAAGATAAAACCACTGCCTCCGTCAGTCACGTCATCGTGGACAAAGATAAAACCACGGCCACCGTCAGCCATAGCAATGCGACGGGAAGTAAGGTGAATATTCCGGATACAGACAAAAACATGGCTACCATCAATCATAGCAATGTACAAGAGGTAGACAAGCATATGGAGAATCAAGATACAAATAAATATACAGCTACAAGCGATGAGAGCAGAAAAGGTCGTAGAGTGCAGATTATTGATAATCTGTCGTCCGATATAGACAAACTGCTGGATGAATTAGACGAGATTTGGTGAAAAGAAACATTTTAAATGAAGGGCCTTAATTAAACCATTACTCTTTGGAAATTGGATTACAGCTTTCAAATAGTGTTATATCTTTTTTTTAAAAGGGCCAAACGTAGAAAACCATGAATATAAAAAACTTGGTTCCATATTTATTGTGTTTTTTATTGTTGAAAAAAATATAAATAAACAAAAAAAAACTGTTAAAATTAGTCGAATTAATAAGATAATCGGATTCATTTTCATTTTATAATTTGACAAATCATCAGCTCTGAAGATTCATGATAACATGTTAACACGGAAAATTGTGAAAATGGATCAGGAATTAGATGCACACTTTATGCATTTATAGTCCTTTTCAGGAATCTTACTTACGCAAATGGTTATGATTTTGAAACGAAAATTTGCATCATAAAATAATTATAATAGTTTTATTTCAATAGTGGTAAAATTTGCTGAAAATATTTAAAGAGCTATGGCGGGTTGCTATGCCTATTTCCCCAAAGTTATAACCCGCTAGTGCGCGCGTCCAGCCGTGCACTGTTACGACGCGTCCTCAGGTATTTGTATACAGGTAGCTCTATCGGAATCCCATGTCTAAGAATAGATTATTTTAAACGGACGAATTTATGGTCATGGCTATTAACACATGCGTTTCACGATAAAGACTCAACAAAATGTTTATTTTGCTTAAACACTAGATCGTACAATCAATACCAACAAGTTTGAAAGGATTTAATTTTCAATACTACTGCCAAAGTCATACCGTTACCCGCTTTCTTAAAAAAACACACATCTTGATTTTGTTCGTCCTGCACCTTAGAATGGTAAAATTACATATAATTTTCGAAAAGCATATCTTACACGTGTATTGCGCTCCTTACTTTGTGCTGCAGTCTTCAGTCCTGCTTTTAAAACGAATGAGACTGTCCTCGACGATGAATTTTCCCGCGTGTTTGGTAATATCTTTGCGATAATAACAGGGTTTTTTTGCTTTGCCTTTTTTTATTCTGACGAAACAATCCTATATTTTTTTTTTATTTCGGCATCATTTGTTTGTGTTTAAATAATGGATTAAAATACTGGGTAAAACAATTCATAAATATCATTTAAATGATGTCTTACATGTACCCACAAAGCGTAGCTGTACTGTACACGCGTACAGGGATTTGTTAACATGATTCCATAGAAGATAAACCAATATGTATGTTATTTAGATATCAATAAAGTGTTTTATTGATTTGAAAAATACTTATCCCTTAATTGAGGAAGATGATCACATGCCTAAATATTAAATTAAAAAAATATGTGCGTGGTTTCGAACCTACAGCGATTTCTCCTTCTGGTCCTAAGCTAACTGCGTTACACATTAGGCTACATAGGACATATAGAATATAGACGAATATTGAAATATAAACTGTGTAAACCCAAGAAACATCTGTCGTAGTTTTGAGAAAAATTGATCAACCCTATTTTTCATTATTTTGAGCACTTTCCCAAAGGAGGACCACTTTTCCGTCATACGATTTGTTTTAGGATATTACACCACGGAATCAAAATGTTTACTCAAAAGTTGGTCCTCGGATGGGAAAGTATTGAAAGTATTTTTTTTAAGTCTGGGAAACCCCGTCACTTTCATAGATATAGTGAATATGGCTATATTTGTAGTTTTATATTAATAATACCGAATATATCAACCGTTCAAAAATTCATAATCAATTGGTTTTATATATATTCCATGCATTTTCGCTACTTTAAGTGATTTACTCGTTAATATTTTTTTCCGTTTTAAAAAATGTATAATATTCAAAAGATCAGAAAATTATATATTTGGCGCGAGACTAACCCAAATCGGGACACTTTTTAGACAAATATCAATGTCCTTTATAACATGCTACCAGTTCCAAAAATGTTTATTCATTTTTCTGAAGTAGATACTCTCAACTTTTCATTTCTATTATAAGTTGATATTTCGGGCGCGTGGTTCTGTTAATGGAATGCGAAATACTATCAGGATTACGCAGGCCCTTGAACCGGCGTAACTGTACCCTCAAAGCATTACTTTTGATAAAACAGACTTTTGAAAATGATATCCAAATAAATGGCGTCGCACGGCACGTAAATCGGCAAAGTTTTGTTTTGGTCATTATTCTTATCTTTACATTGTCCATGTTATTATATTTACATTTGCCCCTGCGCCGTCCCATTACAACAGTGTTAGAGGGCAAGTGTAATTATATAGGCTATAATTACAACTGCTCGACTATAATTACAACTGCCTGTTTCAGGTGTAGGAATATGTAAACAAACAAAATGGCCGCCTGAAATGTATTTTGAGGCAGGGCAAATGGTTTTTGTAGGAATATGTCTTAAAAAAGAAAAATATGTAAATATAAAAAATACCTGGTTGTTTGGATGTAATTATTGTTGATATAATTACAAGTGGCCGCTGGCAAATCCCATAAAACCCGCTAGATTTGCGGGAGGCCACTTGTAATTATATCAACAATAATTACATCCAGACAACCACTTATTGTTTAAATAATCAGCAGCCAATTAAGCTTATATGTAACAATTGTCAATAAAGCATTAACAAATGAAAACCGTTTACATAAAAGTACTTCCTTGCATTGAATGACAGTTTCTTGGGCCGTTTTCCCACAAGTGTTTCCCCGTTTTGGGTACAGTGACGGTAGTCTACTGATGTTAAGTATCATTATTTTCATACCGTATATATCAAGGTGTAAAAACACACTGTCAATAGTGTTAAGTAAGCATTATTCAGGGTAGACGTGTATATCCTGTAAACCGCATGTTGTATCGTAAGGACATGTACCTGTAGAACGAATGTTGCCGCATGTGTGTCGTATACATGTAAATCGCGTTCAAGGTAGAAATGGCGCGTGTATGACATTATCACCCGTGTCATGCAGATTGAAATCGGGCTGAGATATCGCCTAAATGCACAGCGAGCGGAAATCCTTATATAAAACAACCCGTATCACAGACAACCCTATAGGCTATTGCTCGCTCTCTATTAACTTTTCCTTCGGATACAGATCGGTTGTTCTCCTGCTATTCTTACCCCCAATTTCCCTGTGGTACAAACCATTTTCCTGCGCTTAACAAAACTTTTGCCGAAGGCACTTAAATGATATGTTGAATATGTTAATCTTTAATGAAAAAGGAACATTTCTAAGGTGATATATGTCTTATGGAATTCTTTATTTCAATTAAATGAAACTGACCTTTAGAAATAGCATGGCCAGATTGTTTTACTGGTCTTTATACGGTCAGGTAATAAAGTATACAATCTCGTTCTTGTAAAATAAATATACAAGGTATATGTTGGTTTTTAAGACCGTCATATGATAAGATAAATCTTTGTTTTATATTCACAAACTTATTAATTTTCAAGCTTGGGAAACATAATTTTAACATCAACTCAGGAACTGTTTCGGCGTTGTGTACAGTTATGGTAACACAACCCGTCTGTTCAATATCGAATGTGATCACGTCAGGTCATCATATATGTTCCATACCTAAAATGATTTACCCGCTCTGTCCTTTAATGTGATTAACCCATGGAGATAGCATCCTTAAATTTGAAGGGGACAGCTTGTTGTTTTACCGGTTTAAAGGGAGATAACTCTAACTGCACTACACATTTTACATGCACAGGGACCAACGAGTTTGCAACAACTATATTTGGATTACGCTTGGGTTTTCAGAGTTATTTTACACGTTTAAGGAGTTTAGATAAATATTCCGACCAAAAAGATTCTATACACTATCATTGGGGTGATAATGTAAAACGTCAAATGAACACATATAATCAAATAATTGTACCTATCTTTAAATAATTGAAGAAAGGTACAATTCAATTGGTGATAGGTGCAATTCAATTGAAGATAAATTCAATTTAATTAAAGATGGGTTCAATTCAATTGGAGATATGGAACGCCGAATTAACATTTATTCAATTAATTGAAGAAAGGTTCAATTCAATTGAAGATATGTCCAATTCAATTAAAGAAAGGTTCACTTCAATTGGAGATAGGTTCAATTCAATTGAAGATATGTTTTATTTGAACATAGTTTTAATTCAATTGAAGATAGGTTTAATTCAATTGAAGTTAGGTTCAATTTAATTTGAGATAGGTACAATTCGATTGGGTATAGGTACAAATAATTGTACCTATCTTTAATCATCGTTCCTAGAGGTGGCATGTATACCGAAGGTTGATCTAAACCTCTTAGACGCGTAAAATTACTCTGAACACCTAATAACTGGTTTCAGTTTAAACATATTGTATTGCCAAGCAAATGGATTGGGCACAAGTTATCAAACTTATATTAAGCCCTTTCCCAGCAAATTACAAGCATATATTTACAATAGTACAAGATGGCAGACTTAATTAATATACATATATACACTATTTCATTTTTAAATGCTTTAATTTATATATTGAAATTATAAGAGAGAGACAGAGAGAGAGAAGGGGGATGGGGTTCTAATAGTCTGTAATTATAATACATACATCCTCATAATTATTAATGTATGACACATGGTATCTGCCTCCAAAGCAACAGATAGTATAAAAAAGCATATCGGAACATGTGGTTGTTTTTTCTCCATGCAAATGGACAAGTGTTACTCAATTCGCTGTTCACAACTTTCTGTATGTTCAAATATAATAACTGGTGAAAGTCAACAACTTTGTGCATCTCGCCTCGATGAAAGAACAATTTTGCCATTTTGGTATGAAATTCCCAAAACAAATCATGTTAAGTCCCCCTTCGGTTAAATAAACAATAAACACTGACGTCATGCTTTAGAAAATATGCTAGAAATCAACACTTTCTAGACATACAAACGCTATGTCAAGTCATCTTCAGGCTAAGCTCGGCGGAACAATTTGATTGTGATCTTGACAGATTTAAGCAGATCTAGAGGTAAATAGAAACCTTTTCGTTAGCAAATCTTCAAATACAATGTACATACAAAAACAAATTCGTGTACCATCATTCGACAAAAGAAACAGAGTCCCACGGCTGGCTTGTGAACCTTTTTGGAAGAGAGTTTCACGCGCATGGTCTGCTGGAAAATATTACATGCTCACACATGGTACAAGGTCGTAAACATATATGGTTATTAACCAATGAGAAGTATGGATACATCGCAAACGCGGTAGAATAAATTATATATATCACTGAACAACATACCTTGATCAGATGTTGTGAACACATGTCCACTGACGTCACAATGCACATCCCATGTTCATATCGATTATTTTCATTAACATTTGAGCTCATCCTTTCCTACACAAACGGATACTAAAACAGATTGAAATTATCAACCAAGTATAATGAAAAGAACCCTCAACTGTTAGAAGTCAATTTGAGTGTAGACTGATCAATGTTTGTTTTAATCTAGTGAGTTGTTTGACAAATTGTTTTCCTGGCCATATGGATAGGAGGAGCAACATTCAAACTTGACATACGACATTGAAAATGAAAAGCTATGCGAACTCCATATATTAAACAGCTAGTTCCTCTGTCGAGGTGTGAGAGAATGATCAACATTGCCTGTTAACAAAGTGTCTCCGAAATGTCAGAGTTGTCCTTTGACGTATCACTCGAATTCAGTACTGTTGCAACAACATGAATCAAACACTAATGGATTTTATTCATACAAAGCACATAAGTGTTCCTTTCCCCACAAAAAAAACCACGATAACTTCTAAATATTATCAACGTGCGGCAATTAATTTAACAATGTATTGTCTTTGTAAAGGACTATCTGAGTACAACAAATATCAAATTTTATGTATGTATGGAAATTAGGTTATGAAAAAAAAGTCAATCAAACCACGTTAGTTTCTAGTCAATTCATTGTGTTGTAGTCATATTCAGCGGGTAAAGCAGTGTTATGCATGACCGTTACAGGTCTTATCACAAATGCCTTTATTTTTCGCGCGAGCTGAGCTGTCTGCCAGGAGCTCTAGGATTTCTTTTCTCTGCTTCATCTGTGCTACATTGGCTGGAGTTTTCTTATTGAGTCCCTCGGCGTGTACATCTGCTCCGTTTTGTAGCAGAAGTTTTACGAGCGCAACATGACCTGAATCGCATGCGCAATGGAGTGGAGTGTAGCCAACCTTTGACCTGATGTTGACGTCTGCGCCACCTTGTATGAGAACCTTTGCCACCAAGTTATATCCGTCATAACATACCCTGTGGAGACATGATAAGCCGAAATAGTCCGTCTGGTCGTAGTCCGCGCCATTTTGTAACAGCATGCTTGCAACATTATGGCGGCCTTTTTGTGTGGCACAATACAATGGGCTCCAACCCTTTGTGGTCGCTATATTGATATCGGCACCGCTCTCTATCAGGGAAAGAACAATGTCCAAATCCCCTTTACCGGAAGCCAAATGTAAGGGAGACCATCCTGTGTGTGCAGTGACATTGATTGAGTTTTGTCGTTTCAAGAGCATTTGGACAACCTTGGCGTTTTCTTCTCCGCCACCGAAGTAAATGGCAGGCCATCCACCACAAGTGACCACGTTCGATTTCGCGCCGTTTTCCAACAACACACGGAGCAACTGTAAATCCCCGTTCCAACACGCATAATGCAGAGGTGTTCCAAAGGACTCTTGTTCCTGGTTAACGTCGGCTCCGTAGTCAAGAAGTAATTTCACGGTGCCATAATTGCCTGCTTTACAAGCGATGATTAGTGGCGTCCTGCCGCCTGCATCGACGCAGTGTGCACTTACACCTTTACTAAGCACAAACATAACTGCCTCGGCGTTTGCACTGAAGCATGCACCGTGCAAACAATCTGATGTCGGCTCCTCATTATGCAAAAACTGTCGCAGCAGGGACAGGTTTCCAGTTCGGCCAACCCAGTAAAACAACGAGTATCCCTTCTTATCCACGCTTCGGTAAAACCTCAGCTGTTTTGTGCGCTCCATATTTGAAATGTACATACACCACCGGATAGAGAAGGACAGATCATCGATAGAGGGGTTTTGGAAAACATCGTCAATGTCTCCGTTCATGACATCATCCGTAAAACGCTTGGCCAGTTCCTTGTAGTAGATCTCTGGCAACCGTACCAACGTGTCTTCCGCGACGTCAGGGAAAGACTGAAGCCGCACGTGTTGCTGGATAAAGTGAGCGCTGCAGTGCTGCAATACAAACATGGCATCCTCGTTTGCCAGCACAACGCCTACCGCTTCCAGAAGAGAGGCATGCACGAATTTGTATGCAGTATCATTAACTGTCACATGTGAATCGCGCAGCCTTTCAATGGCACGATGAATATCAAACAATGTGAGGTTGGGCAGTTTACGTGCCTTTTTTATTGATTCTAGTTTCTCTGCAACCCAGTTGACATTCGGTGAGGCCCCACAACAAATATAGCGCAGCCTTTCGAGCCATCCATTGGGGGGTTTATTTTGCGTGGGTTCGCTTGGCGTCAGATTATCAAACAGTAAGTGTCCATCACAAACAAGCAGTAGGATCAATGCTGAAAACGCAACACTGTCTCTCCTTGAAAGCTGAACAAGTTCTTCACGTAACTGTGAAACGGGATGAAGAAAAAAACTTTCACCTTTTGCTCGAAACATTTCGTCAGACGCAAAAAGTCTACAGGATAATGGGAAGCATGGGGTATCGCATGATGTTAGCATTTCGATCGTCTTTGCATTCAGGACAATGTCTTTGTCCCTGAGATGACTCCTAATCATCTGTAGCTTTTCAGATGATGAGAGACGCAAATCAGAAGAAGAAATATCAATCGGCTTCCCAAAAAGATGAAAGCGATTGACTGTTGCTTTCAGATCTCTGTAGATGTACCTGCGGACTGTTGCTATGACAGTTGTATATTTGTGGTTGATACATCCCCGTAAGTCCTCCTGCAGACGCTGCCAAGCTTCGGCACGTTCAGGAATGGCACACGACTCACCAACGCAATTGTCTACGAATATCGTTTGCTTTTTGCTAGCATCCCATTTTTTACGCCATTCATCCGCCGAGTCGATTATGACAAGGTTGTCGCCGGCTACGAGACGACGCAGAATGAGGTGCCATGCACAGGACGTCTTTCCCTCGCCCGAGTTACCAACAATCAGAACGGCCCCATCACGGTCTACCTCTTCCTGTATCCGACGATAGGCACGAGTCTCCACGAACTTCTTGTCTTCCGCGCCTCTCTTTTCTATGAGCACCTGCATCAGCGCTGTAACGAAACGGTTTATCTTAAAAAAATCAATTATTTGGTTCTCACATTTACCTCCACTGAAGTTGTGATTGCAGAATCTAACCCTTCATAATACTGACTCATTGTCACATCCAATGTCAAAAAGAAAATCACAATCTGCGGCATTTGCAGTAAGTTTTAGTATATATCACAAAACTGTATTATTTTTGGTTTCTTTTCTTATTCTTACTATGTATGATATATTTCTATACCAGAAACAAACTAAAGAAATATCATTTAAAAAACAAAATTGTGATCGGAGGTTACGTTGAAAAGACACTTGATCAACAGTTAAGTGGATAAATCGTTGACGTCTCTTCATATGTCTTTACTTATCCATGATAGCTATACATATTCTATTTAAAACCCAAAAAAAGGCAAAAACTCTCTACAGATCATTTTCAACAGTCCGGTTTCTCCACGTTTAAAAATGTATAGCTATATATATAAATATAAACTTACTTGTGTTAATTGGCAGGCTTATCACAGCAGGTAAGGTGTCTGTAATGTAATAAGGAACACATAGTGAAATACAACATAAAATAGGATTTGTTATCTAGTGTAAACATCCTTTTAAATATATCAAATACAACATTCCCTCGTAAACAAGGAAGTCAACGTTTCTAAATAATGTTCTTTGGTTGCTAGGAACGAAAGAGAGAGGAAACATAAAACTCCTGATCATTGTGTAATGATTGGATTAGGATCTTGTTTTGTTTCTCGTTATATAGCATTAATGACACTGAAAAGATATTTTACTTGAGTTTTTGTTTAGTCTTTCGTAATGGCGTAATGAAATATGATACATGAAAACACACTCATAAATACTAATCCATATGACCAAAACTGTAAATATAAACAAGATGATTTCCTAAAATCTTTCAGTACCCGTTTGGTAGTATATAACTTACGATTTAAAATGTTGTCCACTTCCTGCTTGTATTTATCTCCCCCTATACTTATAACAGCTGTGTAAAGCTCCGCCCACGTTTCCTCGAATTCTTCATCGCTGATTGCGGCTTTCAGTTTATGACCGTACAGGTCGTTGCGAGCGAGACGTAACCGCTCGATATTGGCTGCGTCGCTAGAGTCTGAGGAATCTGGTTTGATACCCCAACCCAGCTGGGGTGGTCTGATTAAAGGTCTACTGCTACCATCATCATCAGTAAATCGGGTCTCCCTAAACAGAACGTAAATCAAGGAAATGTCGAATACGTTTGAGCATGGCTTAGCATCTGTCGGGAAGAGTTTGGCTCTACCATGTCCTCCAATACTTGGCTTCTTCTTCAGTATTGATTTATTACTCGATACGAAGTCTGACAGTTGACTAGGGGGAACCAATATGTCAAATTTATTCTGAAGGACCTTTGTACCAATGTCTAGAAGTAACTTGCAAAGCCGGATGAAGTTATTTGATTCTCTTGTGGCACTTCCTGCGGAAACGGGAGCCACTGCCATGCCTAGAACACAGATGGATTCCTGTATTCTGCAATGAGAAAGTACAAGTAATAAGGTAATGTAGCATACCATGATGTCTATACTCAGGAATAACATTATTTTCATACCCAAGCAGAAAATAATAATTGCTTTAATAATATGATAAAGTATAATATCTAAAACAAGGTTTTCTTATCCGTATGGAATAAAATTACATACTAATATTACTTCAAAATGTATGTTTGCCTTTAGCTTTTCAAGTACCGTTTAATAACAATCTTTAATGATGATAAGAAGTTATCTTTCGAATTGTAAACCAGTTACATTTTTTTCACCCGTTTGTAAGTAAATTCTTGTGTAGAACAATGGAATGTTTAAGAAATCTCTTGTATATTAGACAGTTGGGAATGTTTCCGGTAAATACGATAGAAAAGACTGCAAAAGGAAAGAATCGCATGTAACGACGATTATATCACTTCTATTATAGTAGGCGTCTAATTTAATGAAATGTTTTTTGCGATAAATTTTGAAATCTTATTATATATTTTTTTAATATGTCTCGAGGATAAAACATAACTTAAACATAAATGTATAATACTGCATTAACATCAAAATCTTTGCTATACACAATTATCAAATAAAAGGTAAATGAAAATCCTGGCTTATCGACCCCCGTAGGAAGGGTATACATGAACATTTATTAAACAGGTGAATACTGCATTAACAGCTAATAAACCGTCAGTTGTCATAAGTTTGACAAAATAACAGCTAGTACATGAACCAAGTAAGTATCCTCTCTACAGCTAACGAAGCACTAGAAGACACAAAAGTCATTAATTTGATATGTAATGTTTTGCATGTAAAGTTTCTCTTTAACAGTTTGTAAATTAGTAAATAGTACCTCTACAAAGTATTTGGTCTGCAGTATGTTTCAATCTTAGTACAAGCTTAATATTTAATGTTCCATCATTGCAGGGACAATAGGAACCCGGTGACACTACACCACTCTTGTCCTACCGAGTTAAATGTGTAAATGTGAAGGAAAACAATGTCTAAATTTCATATTTGTCTATTTATTGTATAAATATTATATAGTTCTGTTTCAGAAACGTTAATTTTCATTAGTATAGAGTCTGTGTATAGGGTATTCTATGTGGTAATTCAGTATTTAAGTTTGCAATGTTGTATCAAGCGCATCTTCCAGCTATGTGTTATCCCAGTGTTTTCTTGCCATGTTTTGCATCATTGGAGTTTTGATGTCTTGATATTTCGCGACAACTGTTTTAAGTGGTTTACATCTATAAATGTATCTGTGTCAGTAAATCTTTAATGAAAAAATATGTTTCCGTCCGTCCACTGTTAATAAAACAATTTTGGTTTGCTGGTGTTGTTTAACGATAATGGGTGTTGATAATGTTTCTGATGGGATTGTGGTTAGAGCACACTCTATTGAGGTCAATGAATGATTAAATATATTTTGTTGTTAAGGCCCTTGCTAATTTTTTACCAAAAAGACATCCAGTCCAAATTTCAAAACAACAGTTTCATTAAACCATTAAAAAGACAATATTTTCCAGAAGAAAAAAGTTAAAAAAAAAATCATTTAAACAACTTTTGGCTTTACAACGTTGTAAACTATCCATAGCTGCCATTATCTCCTTAGTAACCAGAGACTAGGAGAGGATATATTTTGAGGATTAACTTGAGTTCGCTCCCTTTATTAAAATAAGTTACGTAGCTTAGTCGTTGGGTTTAAATGTAGGTGTGAGTCAATCCTATTACAAAACGCTAGCAAACAACCATGAATAAGTGTTGACAATATTAATTCGTAATATTTTGTTTTATGTATTTCAGAAAGTAAGTAAATCAATGTGAAGATTAAAACTCATACCTAAGCGATGTGTTCATATTCTCTATAAGTTATAAGTAAACATTTCATGTGTTCCTTATACACTGAAAACGATATTCGTTGATAAGTCTGAATTACAAACCCAATAAATAATAACTATTAACGAGTGAAGTCTGTAGCTGATATAACGACACTTGAAATAGAACCACACTGTAAACACCAGGCTGCTGGAAAGGTTAATACGATGGGTCTGTTTATTTGTTATGGTAGCTCACCGGTATACCATTTATTCGAATCGAGAAAAAACGACCGCCTAACCAGTCAGTGTTTAGGGATGATTTCGGCTTCGTGTGTGCTAAAAGTCATTTTTCAAATTTGCATATAAGGACGATTTAGTTATTTACATTTATCTTTAGATTCACACATTCTTAACAAACAAAAACCTTATAGGATTTATAATATCTATAAATAAATTCATTTCAGCGTTATCTGAAACACGTTAGACAGAAGTGTCACTTTATAACGTTATACTAATTTTGAGCATATCTCACTTTAAAGATATGTTTTTCCGATAACGATGTCCACAAAACAACCTGAACCACGTGACACGACAGATAATATCGTTGCATGATATGAAGCAACACATACTGTTTGTAAAATGAATCACCAGTCATGTCCAAAGGTTAAACAGTACCCAGACTTCCAGACGGACGAGGAAGAAACCCCTTGTATCTGCTTATTACGCATCGTACACGAAATCCGTTTGTGTTCGGCTTGTATGGGAAGAGTCCAACCCTTACCGTTAAAACATATAATGACTTTGTAAACAATCCAAAAATGCGAACGAAATGTACGGGGGCTGGGGGCTGGGGGCTGGTTCAACTTCAATTCATGTTGAATCCAACAGAACGATTCAATGTTCGCAAATAAGAATTAAGTTATGATTTTGAGTATTCATATAAGTACATTATCAATGCACTTTACTAGTTAAGATCATTAAAAGTACAACTACATCTACATGCCTACAGGTATTAAGGATTTTGTTAAACTCCTAAAATGACCATGTCACCAAGGACTCGTCTTAATAAGTACTTATCCCGTAAGGGTAATGAAGTAAACCCTAAATGTTTAATTATACACCACATATATCCATTTTGTGCTTAATTTTTGAATGCCCTTTTAATGTAGTTTCCAACGATTTCCTATGTGCCTATATATGTTATGTATATGTGTTTAATAAAGAATCCTTATGTAGTATTTAAATACCGGGCTGATGTATCTTTAGAGAACATATTTTGGCAGCTGGCAAACGTTTATTATATGACGAAGATGTGAAAAAGCTCTTTATACTTGAAAAGGTTGATTTTTGAAGTTAGTTTTTAATCTAAGTTGAATATTCATGTATAAAGATGTACGAAGGCAATATTTACACATATCTACAGACACGAGGATAATCCTGTTTGTGTTACAACCTGCAGCAATATCATATACTCTTCGGAACTACCCATCAGAAGATGGAAACTTTAGGAATCCATAAAGGCAAAATAGCTAAGCCCACCTGAAACCATCAGATTTTTATTACTAGAAATGCACTATTGTTGTGAGAAAATGACATTACGTGTGGTGCACAATTACATACCAACTGGTCTTTTTTTCCAGAGAAAAAGGGACCACTTTAAAAGAGCGTGATATCAATGTAATTTGATAATTTAATGAGTACTAATATTGAAAGCACTTATATTTTGATTCTGGCGTTTCGTTCCTTATTCGTAAGGATTTTAGATAGCAATTCAATTAATTATACAGCATGGCAGATTGTTGACTGCTTACATCGATGGAAAAATGTACAACACTAGCAAGAGATACAGGTGGATGAAGTCAATGGTCTAATGGTCACTATCATAATCTCATTGGAAAACATTCTATTTGTATTTATGCTTAGTGATTTGCCCTTCAGTGTCGTATCTATATTGATACGTGTTTGTTTTTTTAGTCAAATCAGGGTTACATCTTCAGGATTTATTGACTTGATCTTTACCCTTAAATCCCGCTATCTTTTATTTTTTCAATAAAATATCGGTGATGAAACCAGTCAAAAATGAGTCATCTAGACATAATATTATTGGAGAGAAAAAACTGAAAATAAAAAACAAAATTACGGAGAACGAAGACCTGCTGTCTTACATTTTATTTGTCAAGTGATTTTGGGAAACTTGCAGTAGTTCTTAGAGGAATGCTGATAGTAAATCCTGACAGAGGCAAGATTATCGTCAGTTTCTTATTTCTTCGCCAGTGTTATCAGTGATACTGATTGGCGACTGCTAACAAGTTTTAAAATAATTATATACAATGAAACAAAACATTGGGTATAAATAACTGGTGTTTGATTATCAGTGAACATTGATATATGACCTTAAAATCAGTTACATTTTAAGCTTGTGGAATGAAATCATTACAGTTTGATAATAAAGAGGGTTGGCATTGAACATTGAATTTAGGAAGACCTCGGTTATACAGCTAAACGCTTTTATAAATTAGATAAAATACAGAATTTATTGAAAATTATATGGACGCTGAAGTTAAAAGCTATCACTTTATTTCAGAGTTTGATAGTGCCCTTAACTGGGTATAACAATTGAATGGTTCTTGATCTGTAACCTAATGTCGATGATAACATTTTGAGCGAGAAAGAGAAGTTTAAAGTGTAAAGAATGTTCCTGACCTTGAACGATAAGGCCTGGAAGATGACATTGATCCAACCCAAACTTCCGGTGGTATTGTGCTTAAACACTCTGATATAATTTATGATCTCGTATTTCAATATGTTCTGCTATCAAACATGCAGATTGACATCAAGATTGTTAATATAGAGAGGCCACACTATCACAGTTCTCCCAGCATTCCTGACAAACATTCGTCTTCTGCGTCACAGATAACTCATGAAATTTCATTTTCATTTTTATAAAGGGCATAACATTTTAATGTTGTTGTATGATGTGAATTCAATTCAAATTATATCTTGAAGTGATACTTTGCCAACAATATTCTTCATTTAAATAATGATCCTAACAAAATATTACACTTTTACATCATACATAATAAAATCGGAAAGAAAACGGCCACTGGTTGTACATAGGCATGAATTTTATCTAATATTTGACTACATGTTAAGCAAATTGTTTCGGCTATTAAAAAACAAAATAACTCCTTAATACACGTGATTCACTGCATTTGGTTCATTAGGAATAAAACGGAGATTTTCGCAAAATTATTGTACTTAATCTCTTACTTAAGAATCTTTGTCCACATATATCTTTGACGGACGGAAGCAATCAAATGAAATTTTGGATGACTATCGTATATAATGAGAACTAATGCTGAACAGTTTTCTTTCTAGTTCTGACTATCTTCGTGATTCTTCTAGACTTATACATTGTAATCGTATCACTCACGAGAGTGTGAAACCTATTTTTAGCTGAAAACTACTTAATTAAGAAGGAAATATTTTCAACACTGCATCAAATATATAGAGGTTTGGGTTAATCATTTGATGTTAAGAATATATATGTCAAGAATGGAGGCGTTTTTTGCAAAGTTATGTATCTTAAAATTAAATATTAAAAAGTAATCAAAACATGCAGGTGTTAGTAATATTGTATTCATTTTTGAGGGGTCAATGCCCCATATGGCGCCCTCCAGGATTATCCTGTGTATTACATGTTTTGCATAAAACAAAAAAATAACAATAAATCGATATAAAGAATATCATTGAATTGAAATAAACGCCAAGCTGAATTGCTTTTATTAGACGTTGACGCGGGATAAGTTGAGTTCCATGTTTGTATTTAATACCGTGTATGACCAACGTTTTATTCGAGAAAAGCGATGCAGCATCGTTGCATTGAACATGTAAACAGACTACAAAAACAAATACAAAAAAATACAAAACAAAAATACAAAATAAAAATACAAAACAAAAATACAAAAATCGCATTTTACGAGTTTTCAGTTGTTACGGAGACTGAAAAATGCAATTAACGTTTGTTTACTCGTCATGAGAGTATAAAATACAAGTTATTCGCAAAATAAAATACAATTATGAGGACTTTCACACTTAAATGATTCAAGTAAATAGTGTGATACTTGCTAGGTATTTAACTCCCAAATATTTATACAACAAAAACGTTGTTCTGTTTTCACAAATTTAGGGTTGATCCGCAGAAAAAGGTGTCAATGAATCTTTCCCTTTTTACTTTGTTCGTATCATAACCATTGTCACTTTTATGACATATTCTATTTTAGTTTTTTATACAAGAAGTATTCTTTATTGATATCACATATTGTGATACATTTTACAGAGTTATCATCATTCGAAATGTGAATAATTGAAGAAAATCATCTGTTGAGAAAAAAGACCTTTAAGTGAAACTTTACTCAAACAATCCTTTATCGCTTAAATGCCATAATTCAAAAACAAGTGATGCTGATGACTTTACAATTATTAAAACGAAGATAGATTGAAACCTCTCATCAATCATAAATTGTAAAATTCATACCTATAAAAACATCAAATATATAAAATAAAATCAGCAAATAAACTCTAAGTAGATAAAAAAAAACCACCAAGTACAGGGTCTAAAACGGCAGAAAGGAGAAAACAAATACATCCTGGTCTCTAGAAAAACGAATGTAAACCCAGGTAAAGATATTTTACATAGACCTTTCTATTACAAATTGCCTATCTCTGACTGCTTCGACATAAAAAGGTCCCATGTTTTCAGCTCTGTGTTGCAGTGGCAGTCTATTTGTTTTCTAAAGTGTATAGACAAACTTATCTGATAATTTGTAGCGTTGAAACATTACAAATACATGAACTTATGAAAGGAGGTTAAAACAACTTATCAAGAGCCGGAAAAACAACAGCAAATTTGTTTTTGTTTACACTGTTTTGGGATCAAGATATTGAAGGTGGAAAAGAACACAAACACTGTATAAAAACCGTATAGCATTCTTGATACTCCATGGTTAAAGCTAACTTTCGCTTTCTGCACCCCTTAAATATTCCATGACAAATTGAAAGCACGTGGCTAATAATTTGATTGGTTTAAGGTAAAGAAAACCTGACCACCCGCTCGGCTGATACCTGTCCTTTGGAGATTACAGAAGAGCGACACCCGACTGCAAAGCCATTCAATGTTACCGTTATGCGACCGACGGATTCTTTGGATGTACATCAAAGGATCAAACTAGTCTACTTATACCATCCACAGGGTGTTGCACACTGAGACTTAGATTTTGCTATGACATTTTCCAGGGGTGGCGAGAGCAAAAGAGAGCGAAACCCCTGGGTATCGAGATTGACCGTACGCTAAAAAAGGGTGGGTAATGTCCATTCCTTACTTGTTTAAAGTCGTTCGGTAGAAATGTCAATAGCTTTAAGATTGTAAGAAAGTTTGTAGTGATGATTATATTAGTTATTGCTGACTGATCAATCAATAAATTCATGATACATGTTTTTAAGGTGAATAACAAACGTGTTTCATAAATGTATTGATTACCTTCGAATAATGGACCTGTTACATATAACATGAGCAGCAACAACTCTAATATCAGTTATCAATAATAACACATGTATTGTGGTAATACGTAACAACACTTCTAGCAACCATTATTAATAACACCACCTAACATAACAAATTAATAACAACTATATATAATTTATAATAACATCCCCTATATACATGTATACTTATTAACTCACTTAAAACACCTATATATATCTTGCTGATAATATAGATATCATAAGTAATAACGACAGTATGATCCAATATTGGCACTTGATCCGAACAAAAAAAGTTGAATGGATGCGTATTACTTAAATAGATGTTTGGGCAAGGAAGTAATAACCACAGTGCGGAAAAAGATATTTGTCATATTTTCAGGCCGATCTGCCCATTTATCAAGACAGAAATAACATATCAATACATGACTCGTTGATAACACCTGTACATATGTTTACAGATTCGTTACTAATGACTTACAACGCATTGTCATTCATTATGCAGGTGTTTTTATTTGTTTCTCTTAAACCTTATATGTTATGTCGATTTCCTTTATCGAAATAACACGGATGAATTAATCATACGAGCGGTTCCTTTCATAATCATAAGATTTAAAATGACATCTCTTTGTTGAACCAGATTTAAAGCCGATAACATATGACTGTTTGAAATGTGTGTATTCTGAATAACAAAAAAAATGTAAATAGCACAGCAGAGCACACCTAATGGTACTAGACACCGCCAACCAAGGTCGACATAAATAATGCTATGATAGATACCTGCTCGGTTACACTACATCTGGTAAAGAAGCATATAAAGTATTATCTTCTCTGATACTGAACATATATCATTGGCAAAATAAAAATAATTAAATATATGCAATGAATATTAAACCTTACATATCACCACATCCGCATTGAACTTTAATAATCAGGTGTTTTCTTTGAAACTCGTATTGAATTAACTGATATAAGCCCATATTAGCTAACGAATGAAAATATGTAAAATGTTCAATACATATTAAAATCTGCTTGAATGTGAAAAACACAAATTACGAATTTATAACATAATAATCTGTATGTTCAGAGCATAAACTTACCATAATATCGGCATGTGTATGCCAAACAAATTATACAATAACAAAACATTACCTGTCTACACCAGCCTGGGCTCCCGAGAGAGCCGGGAAGATAGATTCGTCGGTATTTGTACCGTCAACCGAGGTCATCAGTGAGGGAAATCCTATCAGGGGCGGAAGTTGATCCGGGCTTAAGTCTACAAACCTGTGCATCGAAATATCTCGTTTGTGTCATGACCCGATGCTACCCGGTTTGGTTGTGATATGAAACAATTGTAAACAGTTTTATGTGCAATTATGTTAAACTACAGTGTGTTTTAATAGAAGGATTTTGATGATGGATTACTCGTTTGAAATACCAGGAACCGGTTAGGATATTCATTAACCGAAAAGTCGGTCATTTGTAATTTCCCCAACCCTGTTTAAAATCGTTGTTTTTTCTTTGTTCGAGTTACCGCTAACTAACATACGATTTTTTTTTACTTCCCTATTTTAAACAATAACTCCTTAAGTATACAAATGTGAAAAAGTAAGAAGAAAAAGAAAAGCTTTGATGTTTAGATTGACACTTCTTCAGCTTAGATTAGCGCTACATCAGCTTAGATTAGCGCTACATCAGCTTAGATTAGCGCTGAATCAGCTTAGATTAGCGCTACATCAGCTTAGATTAGCGCTACATCAGCTTAGATTTTTACTTTTTCAACTTAGACTAACACCTCTTCAGCTTAGATGTTTAGATTGACACTTCCTCAGCTTAAATGTTTAGATTTACTCTTTTCAGCTTAGGTTAGCACTTCTTCAGCCTAGATAATCACTTCTTCAGCTTAAATTAACACTTCTTCAGCTTAAATTAGCACTTCTTCAGCTGATGTTTAGATTGACACTTCCTCAGCTTAAATGTTCAAATTTACTCTTTTCAGCTTAGATTAGCATTTCTTCAGCTTAGATTATGACTTTTTCAGCTTAGGTTAGCACTTCTTCAGCCTAGATTATCACTTCTTCAGCTTAGATTAGCATTTCTTCAGCTTAGATTAGTACTTCGTCAGCTTAGATAAGCACTTCGCCAGCTTAGATTAACACTTTTTCGTTTTAGATTAGCACTTCTTCAGCCTAGATTAGCACTACTTCAGCTTAGATTAGCACTTCCTCAGCTTAGATTAACACTTCTTCAGCTTAGATTAGCACTTCCTCAGCTTAGATTAACACTTCTTCAGCTTAGATTAACACTTCTTCAGCTTAGATTAGCACCTCTTCAGCATAGATTAGCACTTCGTCAGTTTAGATAAGCACTTCGCCAGCTTAGATGAACACATACATTTACGTTTTAGATTAACACTTCTTCAGTTTAGATTTACCCTTTTTTAGCTTAGATTAGCACATCTTCATCTAATGTTGACATATCTACAGCTTGACAGAGTACCATTTTTCACCCCTGCAGGTAGGGAATCGAGAAAAGAATACACCTGTTGTTACCCACTGCATGTATTGTAAGAGAGGACTAAAGTTGGGAACCCCCTACAAAGTTGGGGATTTGTAGTTGTGCCCGGGGGTCTACTTTGGACGCAAAAGCGCCAAAAATAAATCTGCTGCACCCATTGCATCATTTGATATCTTTATATATCTTTCTGATTCTAACTACCTTTTATTTCCAAGCACCTTGCTTGGCAATACCTCACTTCTGGCTTTAATGTTGAGCGTTCGTCTAGGTGAGGAAGGCAATGGGTTCTGTCCCCAGGATTGGACATAACAAAGTCCTTAAAAATGGTAGTTGTTATTCCCTGCCTAGCGTTCAGTATTGGTTAATCCGTTGTCGGTATAATGTGACCGGGCGGAATGCTGTGCTGGGTGACTTCGACATGGTTTTTTCAGTGAGATACATGTAATACTATAAAGTCGGCATCAGATCCGAGCTATCACAAGGAGTCAGGTACACCAACATACACATGTACGCTTACAAAACAACCATGAGGGCACGTCCTTTAATGGCATTCGATGTTAATAGGACGTTTAACAAAACAGGGGCCCAAAGGGCCTGTATCGCTCACCTGAATATGGTAGGTGCTGTAAGTACATATGAAATTTTAGAAAGATACATCCAGTACTTGAGATATAGCGAGAACAAACTTCAAACAGAGCCCCACCCCTATGCCCCTAGGGAGGTCATACCAACCAATTATACAAAATTGCGTCCCCTTGGCCCAAGGATGCTCCAGACTAAATAAGGATAAAATCCCTTAATCCCAATGGTGGAAGAAAGATTTTAAAGGTTTTACCTCTATTTCTATTGGGCCCCGCCCTTCTGCCCCCTGGGAGACCACACCCACTGCTTATACAAAATTGAGTTCCCTTGGCCCAAGGATGCTCCAGAATAAATTAGGAGAAAATCCCTTAATCCCTATGGTAGAAGGATTCTAAAGGTTTTACCTCTATTACCCATATTGGGCCCAGCCCCTCAGGTCCCAGGGGGGCACACCCACCGTTTATACAAAATTGGTTCCCCTTTACTCAAGGATGTTCTACACCAAATATGTACCAAATCCTTTCATTCCTACAGAAGGAGAAGGATTTTAAAGAATAATTTGCTATATTTTCCCTATTGGGTCCCGCCCCGCAGTCCCAAGGGAGACTAGAGGCATCGTTTATACAAAATTGGTTCCTCTTTACCCAAGGATGCTCCACACCAAATATGTACCAAATCCTTTCATTCCTACAGAAGGAGAAGGATTTTAAAGAATAATTTGCTTTGTTTCCCCTATTGGGCTCCGCCCCTCAGGCTCCTGGGGGGTCAGACCTACGGTATATACAAAATTGGATCCCCTTCACCGAAGGATGCTTCAGATCAAATATGGATCAAATCCTTTCATACCTACAGACGAAGAAGGATTTTAAAGAATAATTTGCTATGTTTCCCCTATTGGGACCCGCCCCGCAGTCCCAAGGGAGACTAGAGGCATCGTTTATACAAAATTGGTTCCTCTTTACCCAGGGATGCTCCACATCAAATATGGAACAAATCCTTTCATTCCTACAGAAAAAGAAGGATTTAAAAGAATAATTTGCTATGTTTCCCCTATTGGGCCCCGCCCCTTAGGCCCCTGGAGGGCCAGACCATCGGTTTATACAAAAGTGGATCCCCTTCACCCAAGGATGCTTCACACCAAATATGGACCAAATCCTTTCATTCCTACAGACGAAGAAGGATTTTAAAGAATAATTTGCTATGTTTCCCCTATTGGGCCCCGCCTCTCAGGCCCCTGGGAGCCAGACCCACGGTTTATACAAATTCGTTCCCCTTCACCTAAGGATGCTTCAGACCAAATATGGAACAAATCCTTTTATTCCTACAGAAGAAGAAAATAAAGAATTTGCTATATTTCCCCTATTGGGTCCGGCCCCTCTGCCCCTAGAGGGACCATATCCATCATTTATACAAATGTTGTTCCCCTTCTCCCAAGGATGCTTCTGACCAAATACGGAACAAATCCTTTCATTCCTACAGTAGAAGAAGGATTTTAAAGAAGAATTTGCTATATTTCCCCTATTGGGCCCCGCCCCTCAGGCCCCTGGGTGCTGGACCCATCGTTTATACAAAATTGGTTCTTCTTCACCCATGGATGTTCCATACTAAATTTGGTTAAAATCCGTTCAACGGTTCATGACTAGTAGTGTAAAGTTGACGGACGACGGACGGACGACAGACGACGGATGACGGACCAGGTGAGCTAATAAAATCAAACCAAATTCTTCAACTTCAATCTAAACTTTAGTCCCCTACTTTTTTTGCCTTAAATAGGTTTTCCTAACTTTGGTTGAAAATAGAAATGGTAAGTAGAATGTTTTTTGAACAATGGTGGAAGCTAATGAATAATAATTCCTGGTTTTTGTCAAGAAAAAGGCGAATGTGTACGATTCTTACTACAACCACTACACGCAATCAAAATCTAATAATGGTTATTTTCCAATTTTGGAATACACAATGTATTTTCATACAAATGAAAATCATATCAAATGGATTTATTCAAAAACTGAATTTCTAAATTTCAAGTTTTATTTTTCACTCATGACACACGAGGTGTGTTACAAGAGGTCAAGATTTTAATACATTTCAGTTACATAGCAAAGTGAGTAGAGATTGTGTATACAACATGTAAATATATAATACTACATAATAATAGCACTGCATTTATCTTATGTCACTTTAAGCCATTATGTAAAGCCTGTTTGTATTGTTTAAATGATGATAACTGCACTTAAAAGCGTGGGATTACATACCCCAGGTAAGTTATGATAAATTCATTTATACCACTCTACAGGTATGTTGCTTTGTTGATAGGACAATCATAACGTCAACAAATAGGAGTAATTCCTTCCACATATTTTCGTCGCTTTCTTAGCAATTTCATTGGGCGTAGCAAACACGGAAAATATTGTGAATATTCCGTCTGGTACAATTAGGAATATGGTGTCATAACAATGGCGTGTCTAAAATCGAACAACGACATTTATATTTACTCTGCAATGCCGTTAATATATTACCAAAGACAGTAGATAACTTTAAATCAATATACAACATTTGATATAGCGCTCTATCTAGCTAGAATACACCACTCTAAAACGCTTTACAGTACATAGATATACAATTTATACAATCAATACAATAAGCATATACATTAATCAATACAGTTTTGAGGAATTGGCAGGAGCTGCCTTATCAGGCGCTTACTAATAGTCATATGCCACCTGGCTAATATCTCCATATATGTGTATGCCTGCGTGTGTGCTGGAGATGTATTGTGTTATGTTTTATCACTAGAAATGCAAAGCATGAAGCATCTACTTGGAATATCGATACAGAGAGAAAAATAAATACAATTTGTACTGTTCCATATATAACCATGTCTTGCAATAAAGACTCGTCAGTGGCAATGCAGGTGTTCTAAAACATATGTAGAAATACAAGGTAAGTTGAAAGGTGTCTATAAAACCACAGTACCATTGACTGGTTATCTCTGTATTGTCATCGTTATTGGACAGAGGACTACTATATTGGTCTTTCGCCTCAGGCCAATATAGCAAGCCTCGTGCCAATCTAAAGCTTCGCCTCGGACCAGTATAGCAGGCCTCGTGCCAATCAAAAGCTTCGCCTCGGACCAGTATAGCAGGCCAGGTTCCAATCTAAAGTTTCGCCTCGGACCAGTATAGCAGGCCTCGTGCCAATCTAAAGCTTCGCCTCGGACCAGTATAGCAGGCCTCGTGCCAATCTAAAGCTTCGCCTCGGACCAGTATAGCAGGCCTCGTGCCAATCGAAAGCTTCGCCTCGGATCAGTATAGCAGGCCTCGTGCCAATCTAAAGCTTCGCCTCGGACCAGCATAGCAGGCCTCGTGCCAATCTAAAGCTTCGGGGGGGACCAGTATAGCAGGCCTCGTGCCAATCGAAAGCTTCGCCTCGGACCAGTATAGCAGGCCTCGTGCAAATCTAAAGCTTCGCCTCGGACCAGTATATCAGGCCTCGTGCCAATCGAAAGCTTCGCCTCGGACCAGTATAGCAGGCCTCGGGCCAATCTAAAGCTTCGCCTCGGATCAGTAAAGCAGGCCTCGTGCCAATCTAAAGCTTCGCCTCGGATCAGTATAGCAGGCCTCGGTCCAATAGCTATAGGCCAATACAGAAATAGCCCATATTATACCATAACAAATTTAAAAGTTGGCAAGCAGCGGATAATTTATATCTAAACTAGTATTTCAAGTACACTTTTGCTAGATATGTTCTAGCTGCAATTTAAGGTTATGAGACAATAACACTGCTGTAACGTGACCGGCCATTACAATGCCGTTATGTCATAATCATGTTGTTTGACATAATGAGCGTAACAGGTCGTTGGCAAGAACAATAAAATATTATTCATGACTTATTCAATTATAAGGTTGGTGTTTACCTACTGAGCATTCCCTGCTGTTATCAATGGGTGGGGCTATGTACACCTTCCAGAAATAGCTGGTGTAACTTACCAACCCTTTGTATGCATCGCTATGACGCCACGCCTTGACGTGCATAACTAGGTTGAGTACAAGGAATGGATAGCGATACATGTGCTTCTTTAGAATTAATACAGCAGTTTAGACGTCTCTTATTGATCTTTTAAACGTGTTTTTTTTATCCATATGTGCTTCCCAGAAGATAGCATTTTTAATGATATCTTTAGATCCAATTGTTAAACAACGTGCAGTTTTAAATACATTTAAAACTTTATGTCAATAAAGCAGATAATTTATGTACCTTATTCGCTTCCTGTTGAAATTGTGATAACCGACAAAGAGAGTATTTATTACCTGGCCCTGGTCGCCTTGTTGTAGTAGAGTCGGGGTCAACCGGTCAAACCCTCCACGTGTTATAAAACTTTAATGCTAGATCCATTCATAACAACTCCAACAAAAATGTGAATGAAAGTTCACCCAAAGGGGGGCATTTGTATTTATTTTACTGATAAAACCACCGGGTTGTTTCTAGCATTAAGTACAATGTAGTGTAATTACACTTTACTTAATATGTAACTTTTCAAAATCCAAAAAAAAGTAGCTACAAACATTTAAAAACATGGTAGCAAATACAACCGAACTATAATCAAATTCCTTAGCTAGCTTATTGGTGTTGTCTTCACCTCACTACCAAACAATATGATAGACAGGACTTAAAGTGAACGATAGTTACTTCCCTTTATCAATTACTTAAGGTGTGATAGGTGCCATGTGTGATTCAGGAAACATTTAACCGTCTAGGTTTGCAGGGACCATCTGCAGGCATCAGCATCTGGATGGATATTATGTGAAAATATAAGATAGTCTTTTGTACCCTACCATATGGAGTATAGTAGGGAAGACTTTTTTTTTTATATTTTCACATATTTACATACCAGATCAATATAGTAGGGTAGGGAATGCTATTTTCTATTTTCACACATTTACATACCAGATGAAGCATCATCGATACTCCAGGGGTTTCGCTCACTTTCACTCTCTGCATCCCTGGAATCATCCTCGATATCCAGTGGTTACGCTCACTTTCACTCTCTACAACCCTGGAACATGTCATAGCAAAATCGAAGGCTCAGTGTGCACCGCCTTGTGGACGAGACGAGAAGACTAGTTTGATCCTTTGACGTACATCAAAAGAATCTCGCGGTCGCGTAACGTAAAACTTATTCGCTTTTAAGTCGAGCGTCGCTCCTCTGTAATATTCAAAGAACAAGTATCAGCCTAGTGATTGGTCAGATTTGTTTACCTGCCACCAATCAAATAGCTAGCCGTTTGCCTTCAATTTTACTATGACATAATCCAGGATTGTAGAGAGCGAAAGTGAGCATAAACCCTTGGTATCGAGGATGCCCTGGAATCATAGCAAAAAAATGTAGGCTCAGTGTACACCACCTTGTGGAGGAGACTAGAGGACTGATTTAAACCTTTGATGACCATCAAAAGAATCACGCGCTCGCGTAACGGTAAAATTGACCGATTTGAAGTCGGGTGTCGCTCCTTTGTTATCTTCAAAGGACATGTACCAGCCTAACGATTATTCAGGTGGGTGGTTTTTTTTTACCTGAGACCAATCAACTAGCTATAGCCTTCTTGTCTCGTCCACAAGGTTGCGCGAACAGAGCCCTCGATTAGAGAGCAATTGTGAGCGTAATCCCTGTGGCATCGAGGATGCTATTGTTAATAAAAGATTCCCTAAATTAATAGAGATACTTCAATAAGTTTATGAGATATCCAGGAGATTTCGCTTTTGAGTATTAGATTTTTTAAGTTGACATGCAAAATGTGATGTCTTGACTCTTTCTCGCCGAATGATTTTTTTTCGACCACTCCATAAGTACAATGTTGTGTGCTGATCATTTCACAACAATACAGGCAGCGTAAGGCATCAACCGATGCCATCCTGATGTTGTCGTTCCACATTGTTTTGCTTACATGTATTTTCCAAGTTGACTTATTGACTTTCTGACCGTTGACCTGCCTTATTGGGTGCTTTTTTCCATAGCGTCTATATTGTGACGGTGAGTTGGCTGTCTATGTTCAGTGAGATTGGATGATATTAGAAAAACGTGTGTCGTTTTGGTTTCATCTTGATTCTTGTAGGTGCTATTGTTGTGTTTTGTTTTAATCTTTTGTGTTACTGCTAAGTATTGAACGTACAAACGTGGTAATTGACTGCTGGCGGACTATATAGGTTCAACGAGGTTTGCCGTAACCATGTAGCGTGAATTTATTCCGAAACGGTTATCAAGAAATACTATTTTCAGAAGAAATTATCTAATGGAGTATTTTTGTAAGTCGCTTTATATATAAATGCGAAAATACGAAATAGCCAGATAGTGCAGTAAAATAGTCCCTAACCTAGATATCCTAAAAGTACCAGTAAATGGTTTATAGTCCGAAATAACTGGAATATCGCCTTTTAATGTTGATGGGGCTGCGATCTAGTCCCCCAACATCAATCTTACATATGTCAACAACATTCACATACAACATACTGAGGAGGCTTAACCTTTCTCTGTATGGAGGGTTTCTCAACAAAGTGCCAGGAATTGCTACCCGACGATCTCATTATGCAGTCATATAAAAATGATGTAAACGCTATTCACATTATTTAAATAAAAATGAATGTCTCAAAATCACATTTTTTATAATAAATTAGAAATGCATCGTCCACACTCTCAAACGAATAAAATCGCTACACGTATACTTTCTCCCACAGAAATACTGCAGCCTATGTTTATATTCAGAATAACCTCGGATTTCCCGGGAATACACATGTTACATTACAAAAATTGCATTAATTTGTGAATTATACAAGGGCCACTACTCATATACCCATGTGCAAGGAAAATAATTTCCAAGAGCTTATATGTTTCAAATCAATCCCACTTCAACACAGCATCTTCCCCTTACAATAATACTGAATGTAGTCACAAACCAGAAATATTTTCCCATCGATATCTTTTTAATATAGGAATAAATGTATCATACATTAATAAGTGAGATGTTCTAAATTAAAATCTCTGCACAGCTAGAAGCGCTCCTGATAGAGTTATGCCACATGCTTTACAAATGTAGATAGACAGTTTTATATAACGTCACGGAATATATATATTGAAAAGGTTATACTCTGACTCCCATTCTCATGTATACATGTAGCATGTGACATAGTCCAGTGCGAGTGTGTGTGTGTAGGTGTGTATGTGTGTGTGTGTGTGTGTGGTAATAAACGAGGTGGAAATTTGACGCCCGCGTATGTATATTACATGTACAGAGACGTAATATATACGTCCCTGGTTCAACCACCACGGACTCCGGAGTTCACAGTATTGAACGTTTATGGTGCGGTAATTTTAATAACATGTCTTGAAAGCCAGAAAACGGAGAACTATTACAACATATGGGAAATGTATTATTTAAAATGTACATTTGTATGCCTATAGCTAGATCATGAACGATCTAATTCCGTGCCTAGATTTAGAGATGGTAGCTAGGCCTACTCAGAGACGTATAATACATTATACGTCTCTGGCCTACTGTAAAGAAATGACAGGGAACTACTTTTTATCCCCGACTGTATTAAAACATAATTTGTCTTAGCAACAGTAGTTTTTTTCATCTTTAGCTTTCATAAATAAGGACGGTACACGATTCCTTAACATTTCGGTAAGTGACCTTAATATGATGTCGGAAGTGACGTCATATAATATGGATTGTGACCATGGCAGATGAAGACAACGACATAGTACTGAGTTTTAACGACAGTTTGTTACGGAAATCGGACTTGAAGCTCCTCGAAGGTGCACACTGGTTAAACGATAAGCTAATTGGATTTTGCTTCGAGTAAGTTTGCGTTGTTAATCTCCGTGTGAAACCCTGTTTTTATACACAACATGTGTCCTACTGCTGCGGTCGGACATGGCCACTTTTTTTTGCTTGTTGACCTTTCGTGCGATAGTTTTGCACATATGGTATGACCCCGGGGTCACGGTGTAGGCCTACTTTTGTCCAGTGCTGGGATTTATTGGATTGAACACATTTAAAGGTTCCTAATGACTGACAGTTGTTGTCGAGTCTAAAGTTCACCAAACTTCAGGTTACGGTTTAAATATATAATGTGTCTATGATACTCTATGGTTATTTTGTTGTTATTCATCACACGAGTAGCACTATACTGTATGTTCACCCCGCATTAAAACCCCTCTGACTAATTAATGGAGCATAACATCAATATATTTTAAAATTGTAGAATCATACCATAGAAGCAAAATTTCAAAAGATATTAAAACTGTCATAGTATATAGGTTTTAGGGAATTTATTTTTTGGATCTGAAAGTTTTAATGGTGTCCGAGTGTAACAGTAAATGCAAAATGATGGCTAAAATATATATGCCAAACTCGAGTCTAGATAAATGCTCCAACCAGTTGAACTACCTGCATGGTTGCCTGTAATTCCTGTAGGAACTCTATCTAAATCAGAGATTTATAACGATAGTTATAACTATCGTTATAAATCTCTGATTTAGATAGAGTTCCTACAGGAATTAGGTTGCCTGTGATCAACTTGAAGTGATCCAGTTCCACTACTTTCTCCTTTTCTTCTTGCAGCGAAACTGGATTCGGTCGATTGTCTGCAACCAGATACCTTAATTAGTACAGCATGTCTAGATTTTGGAGGGTCCTGGGTTCAAAATCTGATCTGGCCATGCATTTCTCTTTCTCCTATTACAAAATAAATGTGCATATGAAGCCTTGAAATAAAGGAATCATACCCAAACATGGGTTGTAAATAGTTGTGTCTTTCGGGGCAAAGATTTTTAAAAAAGGAGGGAGGAACATAGCGGAACTGGACTGGGACAAATGTTGGCAACCAGGTAGCTCAACTGGTAGAGCACCTGTCTAGAATGCAGGGGCTGGGGTCCTGAGTTGGAAACCCAGTCTGGCCGTGCAACCCAGCTGGTTCCAGTAGTCCCTTAAAGCTTGCCAATCTTACACAAAGAACTTGAGAGTTGATCGCATGCACATTTATTTATTGATTTCCGATTCAACTGCAGACCCTTGTAAGCTTTCACAGTCAGTTACGCTTGTAACACAGACTAAAAATGCACGCATGCACCGCTGAAACAGTCCTGAGAGAAAATAATGCACAACCAGACCAGAATTCAAAACCCGGACCTCTAAACACGAAATGGCTGCTCGAAACAATAGAGCTACATGCATCGGTGCTGGTGATATCGATGGACCCAGTCCAGTTTCACTAAAGGAGTTTACAAGATATAACTCTCGTGTTTTCCACTTGTATATATTTGTGCTGTGATGGGGATATTGGATACATGTTGAAGATATGACTCCCCAACAATTCGCATATAGCAATTCACATAAATTGTTTGCTGCTTAATTTAAGTAACATTTCACATTGATTGCTTGCTTCTAAATGTAAGTAACATTTTAATTAATCTTTAATGAATCTAATTTTTAAGAGTATCAATGTGAATGAAAGAATCAATGAATGGTTGAAAGTTTAAGGAAGAGACGGACAGGTATCACATGACCAAACACTCAATACACTGTAATGATATATATATTGGTTGGACAATCCTTTTAACATGAGGTCAAAAACCAAGGTCAAATGAATATTATTTTTAATAATTATTGCTGATTGAAATAAGATATATATATCCTTTCCAAGTCTTATGTCTGATTATTGTGAAAGATGAAACTATATTATTGATCAAGGATTATTAACCGATGAAATGATGATTTCACTTTGAGTTTAAATGCCAACTTCTTGAATATTCAAAACAGATGCAACCTCCTTTAACCCTAAGGAAGGTTACCTGAAAGGATAAAATAATATTACCAAAACATGGCTGCTGCAAAACCAATACAAATTTAAGAATCAATCGCACCTGTAGTTAAAAGAGTTAAAAAAAAGTGAAAAATTTGGACATTTTTCATGAAATATGCATAAAAGGGTGATGACGGGGTGTCGTTCTAACCCCCCTAACTTTTTGTTTTCACTGGAAGCATATCTTTATTTTTTAATGATTTGTAGCATAGATATAATTTATTTTATATACCAATGTAAAAAAAAAATATCATTGACACAATTATTTTATTTTCGACTTTACATTTTTTTATTATTTTTTTTAAATATTATGTCTAAAATATTTCAAAATATTCGTTTATTATAGTGTTTTCAGACAAATAAAAAAAAAATGCAGTTTTTGGCAGGTACTTTCATGACTTAAAAAGGGCAGAAAAATGACATTTTTTGGACTTCAAAAGGGGGTAACTCTTTCAAAGAATATTTTTAAAAATAGCCTGGAAACAAGTATTCTCAAATGATATTTTGTTAGGTACACCCCATAGAACAAAAAAAATCATTGACTAGATTTTGTTTGCCTCTAGTGTCCTTCTCTACCTTAAACTATAGGAGAAGAAATGTATGAGTAAAGTACAAGTGAATGAAGGGAAAGAGGCCTACAGTGTAGAATAACAAGTTGTAAGAGAGGTGAAACAGCATCAACCTGGGCCACTCAACCTCCAGAAAGATGCTGGGAAAAAGTATAAGGCCAAACAAAAAAATATATAGTGTTTCCAGTAACCCATCTTCGCTAGCCAAGGGTTACGATGTGGTAATATGATCTACCTACTCTTAACTCTTGGCATACCCTTATTTTTTGTGCCTACCCTAAGCTTTTTAAGACCATTTTCAAAGAAGTACTGTTAAAGTCAAGATCACTCTCCTATATAAACCATATATAATCATTTGTAGAAATGAAATTTGTTACCTACCTATACCTACCCTAAATGTTTCCAATATGTTACAGGAAACACATATTTTTCTGTCTGACCTAAATTGAACCTTACAAAGTAGAAGATTTTTTTTTTAATATACCTGTACGAAAGTGTTATGTTGTTGTCATGTTGAACACGGTGACATGACTTTGTTTATATTTTCAGATATTTTGAGAGGGAGAAATTTAGCCACTCTGGGGATAGGCTGTGCCTTATTAGCCCTGATGTGACCCAGTTTATAAAGCTTTCTCCAGGTACCATACTCCAAAAGTCGGACTCTAACCTATCTTGTATTCATGAGATGTGTTAATCTACATACATAGTAACAAAGAGAAATCTATTAAATCAACTTTATGCATCTTATATCAGCCATGCAAATGTTAGCTAAATCACAAGAAAATGTAATACTTTATTGATTTTTTGGGTTTTTTTTGTTTATAACATTTTATATAGTTATTGATGTCATTTTTACAAACAGAAAATATGTAAATTTTGATATTAAGTATTTTGCTCAACAATCATGGAATTTTCAAAAGGATAAACCCCTGAATGGCTAACCAACCTGATTTATATAGAAATTGTGCTAAAGGGTATGATGAAGGACTGTTTGTTTCCACACGTTTTATAACTGGTAATTCTGCTGTCTGTAACAGTGGAGGAGCTGGGAGTTTTTCTGGAACCCCTGAATCTCAAGGTGAAGGAGTTTGTGTTTATGGCTGTCAATGACAACAGTAACCCTGACATTGCAGGAGGAACACACTGGTAAGTTACATTAGGGTGGTGGTCATTAGATAAGTTGTTACCAGATCAAATGATCAGGAATGGTTTAATCTCGTAAAGAGTGAAGTGACTGACCATATTTTTCTAAAGGTTCATTTGAAACACATTATTTTTTAGTTATTTTCCATAGTCCCTTGAATCCAACTTACATTTCAATATCTCTTTTTTTGGCCCTGATAGAAGCAGGTAGAGGGTCTTAATGTGTAAGTTAATTAGTGTATGTGGTCGGGCAGGTGATCTTTTACCTTTTCCCATCTGATTGGGAAATCAAATCCCTGTTATTTTGGTGAAAGGCGAGTACGCTATCCACTGCGCCAAAACGCAACCGACCACCCAGTTATACGAGTTATTCATTGAAAAATATAGAAAAAACTATTTTTCTTCAGATACCATGAAGCATGAAACTGCTGCTTACCATTTTTTCTTGTTACTTAATGCCATTAAATTGCTTACAGGAGTCTGTTGGTATACATCAGATGTCGGCAGGAGTTCCGCCATTATGATTCCTATGGGAGTGCTAACAAGGAAATAGCCAAGCAATTGGCCTTGAAGATCCAGCCCTTTGTCCTAGGTAATTGTGGATGTTTGGCATACCTCTTATATATTGCCACTGTATGATCATTTTCAATTAAGTAGTTTATTAAAGTTAAATGTCCTTAAAAAATATGTTTTACACTCGTTAAGAAAGCATGTACTGTGGAATATATAGAGCACTTTGATTTTGTAGGGTTCAAAGTTAAACAGATTTGTTCTTGGAAATTAATGTTTGTGGCATTAAATTTCATGTTTAGTGTCAATAGTATGAAATATCTCTCTACCAGAGAAGCAGCATATAATATATATACATTTCCTGTTGTTTCTCAAGCACTGGATCTATAAAAGAAAAATGAAATCTCTGCAAATATAAGTGCTATGGGCTATTTCCACCCAAGATTGCAAAAAAGCCAGGTTTTGTTTAAGTGTACTACCACCCACAGAATTTAGTTAATACTTTGGTTGGAAGTACTAGGGAAAATTGCATTTAATAGTACAATGAATAACCCTGCTCTTCCATTGGTTTTCCATGAATAATGCCTCATGCTCTCTCTGAGTCTATGCAGCCAGATAAAGTTACATTAATTTGTACACACCTCTTTTCACATCTAAGCATTGCTTTATATACACCATGGAAAAATAAGATTAGAATATCATATATATATACCAGTATACAGGGTTAGACACTAACATTTTTTGCTTGGTAGTCCACAGTACTAGTTGAATAGAATAATTCGTCATTGAAACTACTCCAAGATTTCCCGATAAGAAAACATTGCAATCTACAGCACGAAATATTAAAAGTAATTGACTGTAGGGAACTTGAAATAATTACTGCCATAAAAATATGGTGAAGGTTTAGGAAAATTTTGACAATTATCATGCAATATATCATATTTTAAGCTGTTTTCTAAATTTTAAAAAGAAATATTCTTATTTTATAATCGAATTTTTCACAAGTCTAAAGGACCAGTTAGGTTAGGTGATTCACTAGTCCTTGCTGAAATCTCCTAGTCCAGGACTAGCGGACTAGTCTTAGTGTCAACCCCTGGTATATATAACTCTTAATTGTCTCCCCATACTAACCACTAGTATTCATGTTTAGTCTATAAAAAGAAAAATGCATCAGTAATTTAGTATGTTTATATCTCTGTTTTTTATTTTTTAAATGAACCATTGTCTGTAGACCTAAGTTTGACCAGGCTATGTTCAGAACAGAAATATATATAGTAGCATATAAGTTACAGTTGTGTGACCGCACAACACACCAGATATAACGTGCATATATTGTGTGCGCACAACTGTGCGCTGCAACAATCTGTCACCCCATTGTGTGATTTTGTACTATTGGTTGAATAATATATGTATTATGGAATGAAAAGAATCTGGAAGGCTCGTATGAAATACACTGTATCTATTGAATTCTAATCACAATAATTAAGGTTATGTTCAATTTCACAATGCGTGTTACAAAGTTTACAGTGACCGTTAGACTGGCAAGAATGGGTTTGGCTCCAAGATAGAAAGATAGCTAGATGTAGCTAGAATATAGAAACATATGTAAAAAAATCATGTTTATATGTTTAAACACATATCTATATACATTGTTAAGCCATTCCTCAATTTACACCAATCACGATTATTATTGCACAACATTCGTCCATCGTGCGCACAAATGTGAGCAGGCAATAATCGTCCAGATGTTTATTGTTTTCGCACATGGTGTGCACAAAATGGACACATCATGTGCACATCGCACATCATGTAACGTTGTGAGATCCCACAACTGTATCACATGATCAATTTTACACATTGTATTGTGTGACAGTGTAAAGTCATTTAAAAGGAAGGTACATGTAGGTGGTGCTTAAACATATTTCTTAACTTTTTGAAAAAGAGACATCTATGGTATGACTTTTTTCACCAATTTGTAGCAAAATGTTGACAAATTTTCCTAAATGAAGGACAGGGTACGCCGGTAATACTCCCAAAATACCTGGCACACCTCCATTTCCAGAAATATACAAATATGTACATGCCTTAAGTATGTGTCTGACTGTACTAGAATAGAGTAATAGAAAAAAAAAATGATCTTGAAAGTATTTCAGGGAAAACCCCACTGTATTTCAGGAGTTAACATGAAGGAGTGATATAAGAAATGATCATTGTATTTCAGAAGTAGTTTTAAAAAAAGTTGTGTATTTAGGTGTAATAAAACCAAAAGTAATGATCATGTACACTATTTTGGGAGTTATAAAGAAAAGGATCATGTATTCGAGAGTAATATAAAAATGATAATGCATTTCAGGAGTTTTAACAACCATGTTATCTGATGAGTTATTTTGTTCAGACAGTAGAGCGCGAGGTTAACCAGACATTACAAAATTCACAGAAATTATCAACTAATTAAAACAAACCCATTTTGCTGGGAGAATGACTGAATGTTTATTGTAAACATGCTCACAGTCATTGTTTCATGGCGAACCAGGAGTTGTATTTTAACATTAGCGACATAATTGATTTGATGTGGCCATATAATATAATACCTTAATTAGTCCTGGTAAGTTAAGCTGCATTCTTGTGGAAGTTTGTCTGCAGACAATTCAGTGGGTATATGGTGACAGGTGTGGGTGTTCAGGCGTAAAACCTAGCTGCCCACCCCTAAATACTCATTTAACACTGCATTAGTGTGTGTTACAGGACTGAGACATTTCTGTGTGCAGGGAAGCGACGATATGTCATGTCTGCTCTTGATTTTCAACATTTATTATGTAATGACACTATGATGTCAATAAGTGTGTACTCTGTGCTCTTGGATCAATATGCAAATAAGGTTATGATATACTCTAGTTTACAACAGTAATTTGTGTCAAGGCTCTCTACCTAGTAATGCTTTATCTTTTATACGGTGTAATGGGAGTACATGTCAGACAGGAACAGCCAGTACTCCTCCTTGACAGTTTGTTGTACTGGTGACCTCAACTGACCTCTGGTGTCGAATGACAATAAAGGTTTTAGGGCCTCTGTTGCAGTATTGTATTAATAGCTTTGTGGGTGGTTAAAAGCAGTGCACGTGTACACATTACAGGACCTACCCAGCCATATACACGTACATACTAGGAAGTAAAAGTCTAGTGCAAACTTTAACTATTTTCATCAGTTTGGCATGCAAAGTTAACTTTTGTCATTTTGACATGTAATGATGCATGAAGTGGATTATTATAGAAATAATCTGTTAAGAATATATATGGTAACTGTTAGCTTTGCAGACTTATGAAAGAAGTCATACAACCGTTAATTTCTAAGCACTGTGGGCACACAATGGGTGATTAAATTGTATATGTATCTGTCCCAACTTGTGATAGGTAAGAAACTGTATAGGTCACAGACAGACTAAAGATCACATCAGTGATCACATTTATCTTCAAATGAAAACAAGTTGATATAATGAGTGACTCTAGTTACTGGCATCGTAAAGCCAGGCTGATAACTGATACATGTTACGGTATATCCATTTTAAACACTGATTCTACCATCTTTAACATTTCTAATGTTAAATTCACATGATACACACAAATGTGATAACTAATAACTGGTACATCATGTATATAATTACCACAACTGGTCGGGATGAGGTCTGTATCATAATCAAAATCAACCACATTGAAAGTTCAATCTCATTGTGAGGCCAAAAATTCAAATAGAGTACTTGACAGTGGTTTGTTAAACATGTGTCACTTAAATGATTTAGTCTCTTAGTAAAGTTAGTAAACTAATATAGTGTAGAACCTGAGTCAGTAGTCACAAGGTGTTGATTGATTAAGACAAATCAATACTGAAATCATACTCCTTAACCCTTTCACCATAATGGACTCTTCCAAATTAATGCATGGTATATAGTTCACTCAAGTTACAGAGGGGTGAAAGGGTTGATACCAGCCAAATGCAATATGTATATATTTTTCTGGTTGTTTCAGCTCCAAGGGGAAGAATGAAAGTAATTGAAGCAGATAGCCCCCAGCAACAGAATGGTAAGCACAAACGACCCATCTCATTACCAGGTAGAATCGGTAGTGCTTCGTATTATAAACGGGTCACATTACAAACTGATATTTAACAGACCAGATTCATTTGGCTGTTAGATTATGTTTTATATAAGTATTTTCCATTACAGGTTTGTATGCTATTCTGAATATATTTATAAACAAATGGTCTTATCATGTGCATATGTATATGTATGTAACAGTAAACAGGATTTTCTTTCAACTTATTGTATTTTTGTCATATTCCTGAGTAAACAAGAGGAAAAATTCATTAGGGGCCTGAAATACTATGTAAAGTTAGTTAAAAGTACAGGTGAATGTACATTCATTACATACATTAATCTATAGAAACCTGTCCAAGTCAGCAGTGAAGTCTAGATCTTTTGATAGGTTTTGTCTCGCCACCACGAAGTAGTGGTAGCGAGATTTAGGTGTTGCTTTTCCGGCGACGATGTCATTAAGGTTTTGCGTTTCAGTTAGTTTTACTGAAAGTATAAGTGCTACATCAACTAAACATGGACCATAGATACATCTTATGTAGTACATCTCAACCCATGCATCAAAGGCTGGATGCGGCCCATCTTTCATGGTCCATTGACTTTGTCAGCATCTCCATCAACATTAGGTTCGTGTGTTAAAGTTAGTTTCTCTGAAACTGTAAGTGATAGACCTACCAAACTTTGACCATAGATGCATCTTGGGTAGTACATCTGCATGCATCAAAGTGTGGATGGGGCCTACCTTTCATGGTCCATTGACTTTCTCAGTATATCTCCATCAACAATCAGTTTTTTGTGTTTAAGTTTGTTTCTCTGATATGTGCATTGATGGTCGAAGCAGGGCACAGGCGAGACATATCAATCACAATGGCTTGTTTTACCTTAAAAAGCTGGTGGGCACAGGTGTGACTATCGCTTCAGGGAAACATTAGTCATTCCCTAAAATAGGGTTTTCAATTTATTTATTTATTGAGATCTTTGTGGCCCATCAACACAGCAGAGGTGTTTTATTTCTTTATGTATAAAGCTGTAGGAGAGATAGTTTTGGGGAGTCACCATATTTTTTATCAAATTAACATGAGAAAGAATTTGTACTGAAAGGCCAGAGGGTGAAATTGGCAGGGCGAAATAAGACAAGATGTATTATATTCACTTAGACGATAACATTTAGGTTATTTACAGTAAAACTGCCAGTTCATTGTTCTTTTATATTATTTGGCCACTTGTTTTAAATCTGAAAATTACTGTTACATTAATTCTCAGATACAAATAGATAAATGTTTTCACTGGATATTTTGTATCTTTTGTTTGCACCAATTAATATTTAATCCAAAAGAAAATCTGAAAGTTTCCCAGTAGCTGAGATTGCATCCTCGATATCCAGGGGTGTAGAGAGCGAAAGTGAGTGTAATCCTCGATATCCAGGGGTTACACTCACTTTCGCTCTCTACACCCCTGGAATATGTCATAGCAAAATTGAAGGCACGAAGATATAATAGCTGTTTGATTGGTCTCGGGTACAACAAACAGACCAATCGCTAGGCTGGTACGTGTCCTTTAAAGATTACAAAGGAGAGACGCCGGACTTCAAATTCTGTCATTTTTACTGTTGCTGTCTTTTGATGTACATCAAAGGATCAAACTAGTCTCCTTGTCTCATGAACAAGGTGATACACACTGAGCCTTCAATTTTGCTATGACATATTCCAGGGGTGGAGAGAGTGAAAGTGAGCGTAACCCTTGGGTATCAAGGATGCTGAGATTGAGATATGTTCAATGTCCTTTTATCAGCACTTGTTGATATATTTTGAAAACTAAATGTTGATGGCTAAAACATCAAGTATTATAAAGGGCATTTCTCTTCCTGTTTATGACTAGGATCTATATTACTTTTACAGGTTATGACTGTGGCTTATATGTGATAGCGACTGCGGAACACAAGTGTAAAGAACTGTGTGAGGGGTTCTGCGTGTCTCTATTAGACACTGTTAACAGCACTTCAATGAAAGACAAACGCCAGCAGCTCATTAAGCTCATTCACACAGTTGCCTCAGAGTTTTCCGGCAGCTGACGGATCTACCCGCAACTTCAATGTACAAATTACAATATACGCGGCTATGTATAGGTTCACATGTTTACAGTCAGTGGCGAGTGGACTGACTGATCTATAACTGATATTTGTGTTATACCAGGCTGCAGACAGATCTGTGGTTAACTCAATGTTTACCCTGAACATGTAAAGCTGTATTATCTCCGGGGGCTAGTCCTTACACAGGGGTCAATGGATACGGGGCTATTTACATATTAACAGACTCATGTAAAGGTTATACCAATCGTTATTAACTTTTTCTGGACCTCCGACACCACATGACAACTCTCTTGTCCCAAGAGCGCCATACTCTGTCAATGAAAAAAGTTGTGCTTTGACATAATTTCTGAGTTCATGCTAAAGCTACCTCAGGTACATTAGAGTTAAAAGGCTGAGGCCATAGCTACTGCCCATTGGGATGTCAGAGGTTACTTGAAGTACACTAACAACCTGTCAAGTGAGCCTCATGTAGAATAACAAATCATTGGTCTGTTCACATTGAAAAATGCCTCAACAATTCCTGGAACTGATCCCTTTCTGGGGGGAAAATATGACATTTGGAATGCAAAATAATTTGATAATACTCCTGAGCAGTTCCATGCAGATAAAAATATCTTAATAGCTTTAATTTGTATACTGTGGGTCTCTATCCTTAACCCCAAGTGTTAACGAGTTTTGTAGGGATAACAAATACTTGAAGGGAAGTTGCACTGTAGAATAGTTTTGGCAGTTTTAACTGTTTCTGTCCATTGATCATGTACCAAATGTTCCCATTAGTTTAAAGATGACAATCAAGCACTGCCCATTGCAGGGATTATGCACCAGAGTACATCCAAACATGTTTTTGGGTTTTATGCATGCATCCTGTCTGACTGTTAAGAACTAATTTCTTTTTTACTGGTAAGATACCGGATTTTGCAAACTATATGTATTGAAAATGATTTAAAGAGATAATAATTTACAGTTCAAGGACACTTGTTAAGTTACTTAGCCTGTCCTGTTCAGAATTATTGTGAAATCGTTGTGAAATATCTGGTTTTAAGGGTCCCTGTCACAATGTAGGTAAAAAAACACTAAGAATTCCAATTGTGACTGATCATGAGCCAGTCCACTTGCTGATCAGGTAGCTCAAGTCTTGGTCAGGCTCTATTGGATTTTCAGAAAGTTGTTGCTTTTTATAAACAGTCTTCTTTTTTTCTTCACAAAAGGGTAAACAATATAAACCGGTTGTCATGCAGGTAAAACAGTTTCCAATTCATTGTTGTAGTTTCTGGCAGTGGTACAGGGATCCTCATTTTTTTTTTTTTTTTTTAAGTCAAGTTATAAAAACTTAAAACATCCTGTAATCTAAACTATTTACCTATGTTAATGGTATTGCATTTTATTTAGTTTGTTTAACAAATTTTTATTATGAATTAATGCTGTTTTTCTTCAATATTGTATGAAATGAAAGTTTTGTCCCTGTACAAGCCACATTATTGATGCAAATTTTGCTCATGGACTTGAAAATCACCGCTTTGAAGCCAGGAGTGCTATTATGCACTGAAAGTTTCATGTTAGTATGTGTATACTTGTAATCTGGTGTACAGATGTTCATACTTTGTTCAATTATGAGTCATTGTCTGCATAATGAAAACTTACGTTTGATAATGGTAGGACATTAGTAACATACGTGTACTATATTTGATAGGATCAGTGATAAATGATCATCACATTTTGTTGCCAGTTTAGAAAGTATATGTTCACCTTGTTCAAGCAGCACTAGTATTTTTATAGGGATACCTGGTAAGGGGAGACAACAGTGTTGATACCATGTATGGGGAGACAACAGTGTTGATACCATCTAAGGGGAGACAACAGTGTTGATACCATGTAAGGGGAGACAACAGTGTTGACGTACTACTGGCTTGTTCTGTGCCTGTATGGTAGACAACAGTGTTGATGTCCTACTAGCTTGTTCTGTGCCTGTATGGTAGACAACAGTTTTGACATACTAATAGCTTGTTCTGTGCCTGTATGGTAGTGTCCATGTACTTCTAGCTTGTTCTGTGCCTGTATGGTAGACAACAGTGTTGACATACTAATAGCTTGTTCTGTGCCTGTATGGTAGTGTCCATGTACTTCTAGCTTGTTCTGTGCCTGTATGGGAGACAACAGTGTTGATGTCCTACTAGCTTGTTCTTTGCCTGTATGGTAGACAACAGTGTTGACGTACTACTGGCTTGTTCTGTGCCTGTATGGTAGACACCAGGGTTGACGTACTACTAACTTGTTCTGTGCCTGTATGGGAGACAACAGTGTTGACGTACTACTAACTTGTTCTGTGCCTGTATGGTAGACAATAGTGTTGACGTACTTCTAGCTTGTTCTGTGCCTGTATGGTAGACATCAGTGTTGACGTTCTACTAGCTTGTTCTGTGCCTGTATGGTAGACAACAGAGTTGAGGTACTACAAGCTTTTTCTGTGCCTGTATGGTAGACAACAGTGTTGATGTCCTACTAGCTTGTTCTGTGCCTGTATGGTAGTGTCCATGTACTTCTAGCTTGGTCTGTGCCTGTATGGTAGACAACAGTGTTGACGGACTACTAACTTGTTCTGTGCCTGTATGGTAGACAATAGTGTTGACATACTTCTAGCTTGTTCTGTGCCTGTATGGTAGACAACAGAGTTGAGGTAGTACAAGCTTGTTCTGTGCCTGTATGGTAGACAACAGAGTTGAGGAACTACAAGCTTGTTCTGTGCCTGTATGGTAGACAACAGAGTTGAGGTAGTACAAGCTTGTTCTGTGCCTGTATGGTAGACAACAGAGTTGAGGTAGTACAAGCTTGTTCTGTGCCTGTATGGTAGACAACAGTGTTGAAGTACTACTAGCTTGTTCAGTGCCTGATGGTAGACAATAGTGTTGACGTACTACTAGCTTGTTCTGTGCCTGTATGGTAGACAACAGTGTTGACATACTACTAGCTTGTTCTGTGCCTGTATGGTAGACAACAGAGTTGACGTACTACTAGCTTGTTCTGTGCCTGATGGTAGACAACAGTGTTGACGTGCTACTAGCATGTTCAGTGCCTGATGGTAGACAACAGTGTTGACATACTACTAGCTTGTTCTGGGCCTGTATGGTAGACAACAGTGTTGACATACTACTAGCTTGTTCTGGGCCTGTATGGTAGACAACAGTGTTGACATACTACTAGCTTGTTCTGGGCCTGTATGGTAGACAACAGTGTTGACGTTCTACTAGCTTGTTCAGTGCCTGATGGTAGACAGCAGTGTTGACGTACTACTAGCATGTTCAGCGCCTGATGGTAGACAACAGTGTTGACGTGCTACTAGCATGTTCAGTGCCTGATGGTAGACAACAGTGTTTACATACTACTAGCTTGTTCTGTGCCTGTATGTTAGACAACAGAGTTGAGGTACTACAAGCTTTTTCTGTGCCTGTATGGTAGACAACAGTGTTGACATACTACTAGCTTGTTCAGTGCCTGATGGGAGACAACAGTGTTGACGTACTACTGGCTTGTTCTGTGCCTGTATGGTAGACACCAGTGTTGACGTACTACTAACTTGTTCTGTGCCTGTATGGTAGACAACAGAGTTGACGTACTACTAGCTTGTTCTGTGCCTGATGGTAGACAACAGTGTTGACATACTACTAGCTTGTTCTGGGCCTGTATGGTAGACAACAGTGTTGACGTGCTACTAGCATGTTCAGTGCCTGATGGTAGACAACAGTGTTGACGTACTACTAGCATGTTCAGTGCCTGATGGTAGACAACAGTGTTGACGTACTACATGCTTGTTCTGTGCCTGTACGGTTGTGAGGTTGTGATAGACATGCTATATCCTGGTTGTTTTTTTGAAGTGTTTAATATAACATGTAGTAAGCTTTACTCATCCGGACTAAATCCTAAATCACCTGCCACATGTACATAGCAAACATGACACATAAGTTGTAAGTGGGGCATTTCACCCTATATAATGTATTTTTATACTCATGGTGAGGGGTCAAGTGTTATATAGAATTCAAGAACACTGTATGAGGGATCTAGTGCTTTTTACAGATCTTCTGGGCATCAGGTAAGTTAGGTGAGGTTTACCCAAGCAGTATCAATTCATGTACATGAGTGAATTGAAAGTTATATCAGATACCTTTACTTGTACTTGAATCGCTGGCGTCACCAAAATGATTTTTCGAATTAATATAATGAGTGGAAAGTACTAAACCTCCGGATTAATTGTCATGTGAATGATGTCATTTATTGTCATTACTTACTTGCACTTACCCTAATTGCAGTATGAACAAACTCGGTGTGAAACACATAGACTAGTTGATTAAGTTGTGTTATCACGCTCTATGTAATGATCCCAATTGAAACAGACTTTAATAGAGAGAAATTCATATTTTAGAGACAACATTTTGTTTTTTTGCCTCTAACATTCTAATGCAATTTTTCAGTGTTGTAATAAATTAAAGAAGTATCAAAACTAGATAAAATGTTTCATGTGAAATTCAAAAAAAACACCAATATTTCAGCTACTCTGTTGAGACGCTAGGTGACAATGGATTCCTGTTATAAGGTAAAAGTATTGTATAAACCTTCAAAGGACTACTAGTGATTGTTAAAGATTTTCGACGGGTTTCCAGACAATATGTAAGGTTGGACCCCACAAAATTGTTGAATGTTATATGCTTAGATAAATTCAACACACTGGTATGCCATTGTTGATGTGTGTTGGCATCTGTTAGATAAACACTGTTGATGTTCCTGTCCAATTTTATATACTCAAGCATTTCTTACTTTTTGTGTGTGTTGATCTAAGACATGTATATACACTGTTACACAGATATCTGTTCTTTTTTTCTGAATACATGAAATTAACAAACGGGTTCACTTATATTTTATGTTCAAATTTATCTCAATAAATCATGTGATATCTTTCATTTTGTGATCTCCTCACAAATTAATGCAAAGTTCTAACAAATATACATGTATGTATATAGTATAACCAATTTATATTTCAGTTAAAGCACCTGATGCTACCAATATATATTTTCTGGTCATGTCTACAATTTGTATGTACACTGTCACTCTGTAGTACTGTCAAGGTCAACAAACAACTTCTTAAGGATTCCTGTCCATCTGAATACAGTTACCTCCCTTACATTTTATTTCAGATACAATGTGATATGATTTTTGAGTAAAAAAAAAATCTTAAAAATTCCGTAAGGTATGGATTTCCAGAAATGATATATCAAATGTCTCATTATGTCCAGAAAAAAAACCCCATTCAAATGCAAAATTATAGTTTTTTTCGCATTGGTACATCGATTTTTAAAATCACATCCTTTTGATTACAAAAAAACCTGGGGTTTCCAATAATGTTATGTGGGTTGTCACATCTGCAAATATTATACCAGGGTACAGACTTCTTTGAAGTTCAGGGAATTTCGTTTTGCTAAAACTGTTTTTCTTCAAGATCCATTTGACAACATTAAATAAGTCAGTACAACATGTATTAATGAAAACGTGTTTGAACTTTCAGACACTGAAGTGTTTTGTAAAACACATACTGGATTCCTGTTTACACAAACATATATACAGATTCACACATTCTCATAAATCTGGGAAGTGTTGCTTATTCTTGTTAAGTTTAAATATACACATAAAATAATTTCCAAAATGATAATGTAATTTTTCCTATCAAATCATGTTAATTTGAAAAAATCCAATTCTTCTTTGAATATTTCAATGATTCTTAGGATTTATTTCTACTGGATGTAATTATACTTGCAAATGTGAATCTTCGAATACATACATATTCAATAACACATCACTTTTCTTAACACGTGCCTTATTTGTATACACTTATTATCTAGTACTGCTCTTGGTACCAACAAACTGCTGTTTTCTTTTTGTTACATTATTTCCTGTATTTTGTACCTTTCTGTGCTAACAATGATTTGAAGGCTACAGAGGGGTAGTGCCTTTCTGTACTAACAATGATTTGAAGGCTACAGAGGGGTATTGCCTTTCTGTTCTAACAATGATTTGAAGGCTACAGAGGGGTAGTGCCTTTCTGTACTAACAATGATTTGAAGGCTACAGAGGGGTAGTACCTTTCTGTACTAACAATGATTTGAAGGCTACAGAGGGGTAGTACCTTTCTGTACTAACAATGATTTGAAGGCTACAGAGGAGTAGTACCCTTCTGTACTAACAATGATTTGAAGGCTAAAGAGGGTAGTACCTTTCTGTACTAACAATGATTTGAAGGCTACAGAGGAGTAGTACCCTTCTGTACTAACAATGATTTGAAGGCTAAAGAGGGTAGTACCTTTCTGTACTAACAATGATTTGAAGGCTACAGCTGGGTAGTACCTTTCTGTACTAACAATTATTTGAAGGCTACAGAGGGTAGTACCTTTCTGTACTAACAATGATTTGAAGGCTACAGAGGGTAGTGCCTTTTGAGTTTATTCAGTTGTCAAAAATTGTCATACGAACACATTTAAGGTACCTCTTCAAAAATGAAAATGAAATTATTTATTGATGAATGTATGATCAATAAAAGTATTTAAAAGTATTGTTTAGCATTGAATACATGCACAATTCAGTGGAACGTTTTGTATGCCTTTTGAACAGCATTGCCACTCATGTTACTGTGTTTCACGGTGTACAAATACAACAGCCTTGTTTCAGGCTCTGTTAAATTTTGTACATGATTAATGATATTTCATTATTTATGTACATATTAGTCTGTGGCATGATATGGTGATCATCTTGGATCCTTGCAGTACCATCCAATTTCATAAAGAAGGAAATAATTTGGTAAGGAAATGACACTTGATAAAGTCATTAATGTTAGAATAAAGGCACGGTAGTCTAGTGGTAGGACACTGGGCTCGTGACCGAAGGGTTGTGGGTTCGAGTCACGGCACGGCACGGCACTGTGTTGTATCATCAAGCAAGATACTTTACTGCACTTGTTCCAGTCTACTCATGATCAGCTGTAAATGAGTATGTGGTTGGGCAGTGCTAGAATTGTTGAATGCTAGCTGTGAGCGCCGAAATGGCAGCACCAGCTGTA